ATTGAGTCAACTGACATGGTTTCGAATCCCCGGATGTACGTGACAAGGAGTAGGGTCGCCTGTCCAACCTCCTAGGTTTTTTCCGGGTCCTCCGGGCTCCGGTTTCCTCCCACTGCTAAAAGACCCCTACACGCAAGCGAATTATTGAAATAAAATTAAACCATAAGTTAGTCCCGAAATGACCTAGTTTGTGTTGAGTGGATGTTAAACCCAATTTCTCTCTCTCTCTCTCCCTTGCACAGCTGTCATGGCAGAATTTTCCTGATAGCACACAGCAATGGTTTGGTTGGTGCAGGGTTCTGAATCTTTTTCATTTCTACAGTTTAACCCAGATGAATCTTTTTCATTTCATTTTCACTGGGAGTCTAAGACCCAGATAACAAACAACTACTAAATGTGATAAATGTTCTACTTATGTTTTGTGGGTTTATTTTATTTATTATCTATAAAATAAGATGTCACCTCAAACAACATGTTTGATCAGCCTAAATGTGATAAATGTTCTACTTATGTTTTGTGAGTTTGTTTTGTTTTATTATCTATAAAATAAGATGTCACCTCAAACAACACGTTTGATCAGCCAAAGTAAAATACACTTAACAATTACTGTCACAACACAAACCATTTTGTTTAATGATTTCTAGAAGAATGGAATAAAGAGTCTGGAAGTGAAAGACATGGGTCAATGGCGTGACAAGGAACAATTAATAGCAAGTACAGGAGAACTGTACTACATGGTAAACAAAACCAATATAACAATCCTGTACTCAAGACAAATTAAATAGACATTGCAAGAAACAAACAACAAATATCAAATCAGGTGCGGGGGGTAGCGTGTGCACGCTGTATCATAAGGTCTTGGTTTTGATTCCCTGGTTGTACGTGACAAGGATTAGGGTCGCCTGTCCAACCTCGTGGGTTTTCTCCGGGTCTTCCGGTTTCCTCCCACTGCTAAAGACCCCTACGCGCAAGTGAATTATTGAAATTTAATTGAGCCCTATGTTATTCCAAAATGACCTAATTTGTGTCGAGTGGACGTTAAACTCTCTCTCTCTCCCTCTCGCTCCTCCCCCCCCCCCCGCCGCGGAGACTGGAAAGGGATAATTAAAATTGAACCATGTGTTAGTCCAGTAATGGCCTAGGTTGTGTCGAGTGGACGTTAAATCCCATTTCTCTCTCTCTCTCTCTCTCTCTCTCTCTCTCTCTAAAATCAAGTGAATAGATCAGGAGGCCAGCTATAAGCATCCACTGCGCTGTACAGTCCTTTATTTTAGTTGTTTTTGTCCATCAGCTTCATTAGTTCTTTATTTATATCTGTGTCTGTCCTTTGACAAAAAGAATTTATAAAGTGTCTGGAACGGAAAGGCATGAGTCAATGGCATGGCAAGGAATAATTAATTTTTGGGGAGTCTTGTTTAACAGCAACAGCTTATTTTTTCTAACTGTGTACTAACTTTAACAAAAAGAATTTATAAACTGTTTGGAAATGAAATGCATGGGTCAACATCATGATGAAGTTAATAAAACAAATTAATTTTTTTTATTTATCTTCAAAAGCTTTCTAACTCTGTCTGTAATGTCCTTTGACAAAATGCATATAGGATATAGGAAAAAAGTTATCTACTTCATTTATCTTCAGTAGCTTTCTAACTGTTTGTAATATCTTTTGACAAAAAGAATATAGGATTTTTATAATTTTACCATTAAAAGAATTAACAGAAGAGAATATAGCTGTGAGCCAGTTCTAACAGAATATTACAGAGCCCAATAAATTATTTATCATGCATCAAATTTGTGCATCCTGACTAATTCTTTTCTTCTTTAAAGAGGTGAGATTGGGAGATTGGGAGATCAAATGATCTAACATGTTCGCTTAAGATCAGTTGCATGGTTCTGACCTCCAGGGGGGGTTGGATGGCTGAATAGTTAGTATGCGCGCGCTGTATCATAAAGTCTGTCATTGAGTCGACTGGCATGGTTTCGAATCCCCGGTTGTACGTGGCAAGGAGTAGGGTCGCCTGTCCAACCTCGTGGGTTTTCTCCGGGTCCTCCGGTTTCCTCCCACTGCTAAAGACCCCTACGTGCAAGCGAATTATGTATATAAAATTAAACCATATGTTAGTCCTGAAATGACCTAGTTTGTGTCGAGTGGACGTTAAACCCCATTTCTCTCTCCCTCTCTCTCTCTGACCTCCAGGGTTGTAATTTACAAGGAGTAGGATCGTCCATCGAATCTCAAGGGTTTTCTCTTGGTCCTCAACTCTGTAACTCATGATTGGAAAACTTCATCTATTGTCAAGCCTGGACTTAACTTGTCAGGGGTTACAGGACTTTTTTTTTTATAAACAATATTTTTATTCAGGATGTCTGAATGGGATTGGGGAACAGGCTTAGCCTATGTAAAACCCCTCTCCCTTACAAGGGAAGTGTTCCCAGTTATTCTAATGCCAGTAACAAATCAGTGATTGGCATATACTTCATGACCTTAAACACTGTGTATTAATTTAAAGTCAATCAGACATTAACTTGTGGACGCCAGACCGCCGTACAGACGTGATCAATGGCAATATATACTATTCAAAAAAAGTAGGGGATATTTGATTTTTAAGTGTTATTAAAGTCACCTAATGAAACTGACGAAGAAACAAATGACAAAATGAAATGAAGTTCACATTCATTGATTTATTCCAAATGATCGTTAGACTAAGTAAGGCACAGACTGACCATTTTAGGTGTAAAATGATACCCGGGGTCAAACAGCAAAGTTACCACAGCATCACAACCAAGTCAGTAACGGGTAAATCCTCCTCTGTTTGCCAAACAACCATTGATCCGACGTGGCATACTCCTAATGAGACGTCTAAGGTCATTTTGGTCCAGATTGTACCATTCCTGTTGCAACGCGGCAGCAAGTTCTTGGACATTGGCAGGACGTTGTTGACGTTGACGTAACCTCTGTCCAAGCATGTCCCAGACATGCTCGATGGGGGAGAGGTCGGGACTCAGTGCTGGCCAAGGTAATGTGGTGATGTTCTGTTGTTGGAGGTAACCTGTAACGATCCTGGCCCTGTGACATCTTGCGTTGTCATCCTGGAAGATGAAATGGCGGCCATGACGTCGTGCGAACGGCACAACATCGGCTGCCAAGATGTTGTCCCGGTAGTACTGGCCTGTAACACGCCCTGCAACAACTTGTAAAGCCGTTCTTCCAGCAACAGTGATGCCTCCACACACCATAACAGAACCACCCCCAAATCGATCATGTCTGATGACGTTAACGTCTTGGAAGCGCTCGTTTCGACGACGCCACACCCTCCTACGTCTGTCCAAAAAATCAACAGTGAACCTTGACTCATCTGAAAACATCACATTGCTCCAGCATCGATTATCCCAGTGTTGACGATCCCTACACCAACGACGTCTTGCCTGAATGTGATGATCTCTCAAACAAGGGATCACGCGAGGACGTCGGGCGCGAAGGTGACCCCTATGCAGTCGATTCCGAATCGTCTGGCCACTCACTCTCACACCAGTGTCTGTTTGAAGACGAGCGCTGATCTGATTTGCTGTGATGACACGATTTCTCAAGGCCAAGGTACGGATAAATCGATCCTGGGCTTGAGTTGTCGCCCTTGGTCGACCTGAGCGTGGTCTGTCCTGTACAGATTGTGTATCACGGTATCTGGACCATAGCCTGCTTATGACAGACTGAGAAACATTCATCGTCCGCGCCACAACCGCCTGTGTTGTGCCGATCTGTAGCATGCCAAGGGCACGTAACCTTTCATTTTGGGTAAGCCGACGCATATCAAAATTTGTTTTCTGGTCACTAAAACAATTAAACTGATGTTTCCACCCTGGAATTCAATGCCACAATGACTGTAACATTCAAAGTCAGAGTCGTGCAAATCTTGGGTTGGACCCCCATGATGATCCCAAGCATCACCTGCATTCCATGCGGTAGCTATTGGTGCGTTTGGGCGTCACATGTAACTGGAAATGTTTCTTCTGTTAGGTTCTATAGTGACTTTTTTCGTAGTCATTTGCATATTTTAGTATTATGCCCCCAAAATCAAATATCACCTACTTTTTTTGAATAGTATATGACCACATTTCAGAGTGGGCGTATAAAAACAAGTTTATTGTAAAAAATGTCGCAAAAAGAACAAATGCTGAGCTTGGTCAGAAAAGATTTTTTTGAATGATGAGTAACACAGAAATCCTAGAACAAATGTCCTGAAATGTCATCAAAATATCATTATCCTGTCTATACGTCTCAGCCTTAAATTACAATTTAATAAAAAAAATTACAGAATACTTGACTTTTTAAAATTGTATTGATATCACAAGTGGGCGACTGATCATTTGGGAATTTGACGCTATTTTGAAGGTCTATTAAAAGTGTAATGAGACTATATTATATTGCCAGCATATTAGTTTTCCAAAGAAAGTAATTAAATCATTTGGGAATGTGTCGCGCTATTTTGAAGGTCAAATAAAAGTAATTAGGGTCCCACATGTAATAATGGAATGGAATGGAACAACAATACTTCTGTCATTTTGAGAGAGAGAGAGAGAGAGAGAAAGAGAGAGAGAGAGAGAGAGAGAGAGAGAGAGAGAGAGAGAGATGGGGGTTAACGTCCACTCAACACAAACTAGGTCATTTCGGGTCTAACACATGGTTCAATTTTATTTCAATACTACGCTTGCGCGTAGGGGTCTTTAGCAGTAGGAGGAAACCGGAGGACCCGGAGAAAACCCACGAGTTTGGACAGACGACCCTACTTCTTGTCACGTACAACCGGGGAATCAAAACCCCGCCAGTTGACTCAATGACAGACCTATGATACAGCGCACACATGCTAACCATTCAGCCATCCCCCCCACCCCCTATTTCTCATAAAAAGTGATTGAAAAATGAGTAAATTTTTAACTTATGTCTGAGAATGTTTTGTGAAACAGGGGCCCGGTATTTTTTATTATTAGAATAACATGCTTACCTATCACATGGTTTGGGTCTGGATACAAGCGGACATTGATCTCCAAGGAGCACTGATGTACAAGTTGCCATAGAAACAGATATTGAATTTAAATTGTATCCTCCCTGCAAATAAAATAAATTTTAATTTACACAAAGGAATTGTTGCAGTGATTAAGTCTGGAGTAAAAACAAGAAAACTAACTAAAGGTCATCGACAACCGGCACCCACGCATACTAAATGATTAAATCGGAGACAAAAGGCATAAGTTATATTTATAGCACGGTTTTCATGAGTTAACAGGTTTAACCAGAGGCCGTAGGCCGAGATGTTAAACCTGTTAACGAAAACCCACTCCACTTCTGTATATGATTTCTAATAAAACTAGTGTAAACCAGCAAGAGAGTGTAATAACATTGAACATGTCTAGTTATTGCATGGTTAAGCTCCACCCAATCCACTAGAGGGAAAACAATCTGCTTATTCAACGAAAGGAACAAAGGAAAATTTCCCATCCATGTTACAACTACTATTATAGGTTGATGTGTGAACAAGTTTCATAAAGCTATCGTAAAACATTTTTGAGACATGGTCCAGAATAAAAATTGTGACGGAAGGGCTGATGAATGGGTGAAGTCAATTTCATTATCTCTCCCTTAATTTCGTTTGGCATTATGTATCTTGTACACTGGGAGCCACAGTGGCTCAGTGAGTAATATGTTAGATAGCTAACCTGAAGATTCCGTGTTCGATCCCTGCATTGGCCGAGAAAGTTGATTGGTATTTTCTGCCGTGGTTCCCCAATGTCAGAGGTGTAGGATGAAGGGACTGACAAGGGACAACGTGTAGTTGTTTGGATAGGATGGAAAACCAAGGTCCCGTCTACACATTAGCGTGCATGTAAAAGATCCCTTGACAGTTGGAATTCGATATAAGAGTAGACCATAGTGCCACACTTTATTGTGTATGTCTGTCTTCATAATCAACCCAGTCAGAGCAGAATAGTAGGATTTTAAACCCCATTTCATCACCTTTTTTTTACCTTGTACACTAATCTTTTATTAATCTGTATTTTAATCCAATTGTGACTCTATAACAAATAGCCTACCTCAATCCATACCAATATATGTTTTTTTAAAAGATATTGAAAAATAAATATTGATCTTCCCAACAGCTTTCTTACCTCTAAAAGTACAACAACTTTTCCATTGGCTAGTTGACTCAACATGTGGGTCATGTGACCATATCCAGATGGCAAGACATCATATCCACCCTAGAGAGAAAACACAATGGACTAAATAAATGGGTGCATGTGCCTTCTATATTCTAAAAAGGAGATAGATCATGATGGCAGCTTCTACAGAAAACTTTCAAAGAATAATAACCATGAAGAATGTCCTTTAACCATGTGCAATATGTTTAAAGCAGGATTATGGGAGATTAGATAAGAGCTGAAATTTCTCACTATAATAGTTAAAAAAATAGATAATATAAAAGGAATATGCTGAAAATTTCAGTCTACTTCACTCTGAGCTGTGAAATCCTCATTTTAATAACTCTGTAGCCTCGATTGTCATTATTATCGCTGTTATGATAATAAACAAAGTCTTGATTACCCATTTTCATGGTTAATCGTCAACGGCCGTTGAACTGCAGATCACATTCAAATCTGTTGAAAATCGGACCGATCAGATAATATCAAGAGTTGATTATGGTCTTGTCATGTTAATAAATGTCTAATTAACAGTTTATATAACACTTCAGGCCTAAAGAAAGACTTGCAATAGGCAGATTTAGCTCTTGCATAATGTATGTTTAATAGAATATTCACAATAACAACCGTTAAAATGATGTGTTTTTTTTATTTTATTTCTATTAAATCAGATATATACTCCTGAAACTTATTTAGCCGATTAATTGAGTAATTTACATTTTAGATGAACAAGAAGTTAAAAGACTAAAAATACCTACTAAGGGATCTCCACGAGCACTATCAAATCCAGCAGATACCAGGACTAATTCTGGAGCAAACTACAATGAACAAAAAATTCCAGTCTAATTAAAATGTGATCTTTATTTTGTTATGGCTTATATTTTCAAGCCTTGGGTAGTGCCTGTGGGGCTGACAAGGAAAATGTTGTCTAGTTGTTCAAAAGAGTAAATAAAATGAGGTTCACATGTATACACACTAATTAGGAGTGCATTTAAAAGTAATCGTGAATAATCTTGACAGTTAAAGTTCAATGAAGACTACGGAAAAAGCCCCACCCACGCCCCCACCCCTAATGTTTCTTGTATTTATAATATCGTACAGGTATTTGTGTTTTTATTGAAATAGTACAATACATGTATTAATGATAACAATAATAGACAAATCAGTGTGTGACAAAATAAATAATAATTAAATAATTCCCAATGCCTCCTCCCTGGACTCTTTTAAAAAACACATCTCAAAACACATCTTTTCCGACAGCACTACACTGAATGATTCACTCACACTACTATTGATTTTATTTTACTTTGTTTTTATGTCATATTATGTCATATATGTTGTATTATTTGTTTTTATATCATATTATATGTTTTTATGTCATTATACCCTGCATTGGCCGAGAAAGTTCATCGAGATTTTCCGGCGTGGTTCCCCCTTTTCAGTGATGCAGGACGGAGGTCCTGACAGGGACAGCTGTCTAGTCCTTCGGATGAGACGAAAAACCGAGGTCCCATGTATACATTAGAATGCACGTAAAAGATCCCTTGGCAGTTGGAATTCGATATAAGAGTAGGCGATAGTGCCGCTGCCCGGGCAAAATTTCCCTCATAGCACACTGTATGGCGTATGCCCGTCTTCATTAGCCCAGTATAGGAATCACCACAGAGAGAGTGACTTAGTTCATTACAGCCAATTAATTAAACTAATTAGAAACAACCACGGTGAGAGTGCCTAACTCATTACAAACAACAAAATTTGTCTGAGAATCAGTGAGAGTTTCTAAATAATTCCAAACATTTTGACGGTTCTGTGGAATTCATTATCCCTGAACATTTCACTATACTATCATCCAGACATGAAACATTCAAAACTAATTTAAAACCTCATCTATTTATGACCTATTATGGCACCCAGGCTGTGTAACGCCTTGAGCATGCATATTAGCATGGAACTGTACATGGTATAAATGTACATATTATTATTATTATTATTATTATTAACTAACTGAACTAATGAATAGTGTGAGTGCCTAATTAATTCCAAACAGAGAGTCCACTCGACACAAACTAGGTCATTTTGGGACTAACACATGCTTCAATTTTATTTCAATACTTCGCTTGCTCGTAGGGGTCTTTAGCAGTGGGAGCGAACCGGAGGACCCCGAGAAAACCCATGAGGTTGGATAGGCGACCAGTCTCCTTGCCATGTACAACTGGGGAATCGAAACCACGCTAGTTGACTCAATGACAGACCTCATGATACAACACACATGTGCTAACCATTCAGCAATCCAACCCCCCCTAATTCCAAACCACTAACTGAACTAATGAGAACCACCACAGTGAGAGTGCCTAGTTCATTATAAACTAAGTTGCTATTTAATTCCAAACAACAAATTGGAACATGATATCATAGAAAATGGTGACTCTAGCAGGTAATTAACAGGTATAATTACAGGTAATTACAGGTATCATATAGTATGATTAATCTACTTCTCAATGTGGATTATATTACAAGATTGTTATAGAAATAATCTAATTTAAGACCAGTGTACATAATTACACTTGTGTCTTTTCAAATGATAATACATTTTCCCCCGAGCCTCATATTTTCTGATCAGTATTCAACGTGGGTTTGATTTTATGAAACTTTAAGTACATATTGTGTTATTTTATTTAACATGAACAAGATAGAATATTCTGTTATTATATATATATAATGAAAGACAACATCAATGATTACAGATAAAACAAGAGGTGGGATTATATGTAATTAATGGAAATTTGATGTGAAATATTAATATCATCATTATAGCCTCGTATTCCATACATCAAACAGTACATAAAACAAAGGATAAATCTGTTACATTAATTACTGGTTGTTATAGATAAGAGAGAGAGAGAGAGAGAGAGAGAGAGAGAGAGAGAGATGGGGTTTAACAGCCACTTGACACAAACTAGGTCATTTCGGGACTAACATATGGTTTTAATTTTATTTCAATAATTCGCTTGCGCGTAGGGGTCTTTAGCAGTGGGAGGAAACCGGAGGACCCGAAGAAAACCCTGGAGGTTGGACAGGCGACCCTACTCTTTGTCATGTACAACCGGGGAATCTTAATCCCCAGAGAAAACCCACGAGGTTTGACAGGCAGTTATTGATAAAATACCACCAGTTATTTTGAAATGGAATAAAGACAAGCATATGCCTTACAGTGTGCTATAAGGGAAATTTTGCCTAGACAGCAGCACTATGGTCTACTCTTATATCAAATTCCAACTGCCAAGGGATCTTTTACGTGCATGCCAATGTATACAAGTGACCTTGGTTTTTTGTCCCATCCAAATGACTAGACACTGACAAGGGGAAATCACGTCAGAAAATCCAAATGAACTTTCTTGCCCAATGCAGGGATTGAACACATGACCTCCAGACTAGCGAGCCAGTCTCTTACCCACTTAGCTATCATGGCTCCACCAGTTATTTAAAACAAAGGTAATATCTTTAACACTGACAATCTAATCATGAAATGAAATGAAATGGGGTTTAACGTCCTACTGTTTTGCTCCGAACTGGACAATCTAATCACATGTAGTCATTGATTAAATGAACAGGGGCGTAGTGACTACTGATATTGCCAGACCCCTTCATCCCACACTACTGACAACCAGAAACCACAACCAAAAGTTTGTAAGAACAATCTCGGTCAAAAACAAGAATGTCCTGGTCAGGGTACTTGGCACCTCACTCACTTATTCAGCGACCGTGGCTCTGTAATTTTTATAAAAGCTGATCGAACAGAAATTCAGATATGGTACAAGGACAAAAAATGACCAAAGAAGACTCAAACCAACCAAGGAAGACAAAAAAAATCAAGGAAAACATAAATGTAACAAGGAAGACAAAACACGACCAAAAAAAGACAAAATCCAACCAAGGAAGATACAAAAACCAGAAAGATACAAAAAAAAAATCCCAACATGGAAGACAAAAACCGACAAAGACAAAAAGCCACAAACAAAGACAAAAACCCACAAACAAAGACAAAAAAACAACCAAAAAGATTATAAGATGAATCATAAAACTAAAGGCTAGTCTACATAAAATATTAAAAATGTTCTGAATGTCAAACATAGGAAGAATATTAATGTCAAGTGTCTCCATTAACAAAAAAAACAAAGCAATTAGTTGTCTGCAGGTGTGCACAATTAAATGTCATTGCTTTCATCATAAAAAGAAGAAATGCATCAAAATGCCATAAAATGATCAATAATTGTAAACAAATCATTTGTAATACAACAATTTTATTCTTATTCTGAATATTGACATAACATGACATTTTTCAGTAACGACATAATTGACATAGTTAAAGGGACAATAACACTCTTGCTGGCTTGACAGCTCCAGTAAATAAAAAATAGCCTTATTCTAAGTACTAGATGTGTTAGTGTCCTACCTGTTGTGTAAATTATCCATTACACCCTATTTTACTTGTCCATAGGGTTCGAAAATATTTTTAAATCCAAGTCACATTTGAAAAGCTTTACGTTAGGCTTTTTAAATCATTTAGTTGAATTTTTCCAATTTTTTAAATTAGGTGTGTTAAGATGAAATTTGTATCATCAATTAATTGGAATATTGTAAAATAGTACAATTTGTTGACCAGAATAAAAATTGGGACATATTATTCAGTTACAACAAGAGTGGTATTGTCCCTTTAAAGAGAGAGACAATCTGATTAACACACAGATCTATATTTCCTTTCGTTTTTTTTATACTTTCAATTGGCTCTACTACATAAAGATCTGACCGGTTGTAGTGGAAGGTCGCGTCAGAGGTCTTATGAGTTGCTTTTGACCCTATGACATCAGACATATGATTAACCAATCAGAGAGAGAGAGAGGGTCATTTGTTCTAGAAAGAGTAAGCACATCCTGCACTGTGCCTAGTTTGACTTTTTAAATATTTGCAAACCATCTGGCTCTTTATCCCTCTACAGGGGGAGAGAGGGAGAGAGAGAGAGAGTTTTACGTCCACTCGACACAAATTAGGTCATTTTGGAATAACATAGGTCTCAATTAAATTTCAATAATTCACTTGGGAGGAAACCGGAGGACCCGGAAAACCCCACAAGGTCGGACAGGCGACTCTACTCCTTGTCTGTCATTGAGTCAACTGGCATGGTTTCGAATCCCCTGTTGTACGTGACAAGGAGTTGGGATGCCTGTCCAACCTCGTGGGTTTTCTCCAGGTCCTCATGTTTCCTCCCACTGCTAAAGACCCCTACGCGCAAGCAAATTATAGAAATAAAATTGAACCATATGTTAGTCCCGAAATGACCTAGTTTGTGTCAAGTGGAGTTAAACTCTCTCTCTCTCTCTCTCTCTCTCTCTCTCTCTCTCTCTCTCTTTTCAATTGTTTGCTGTTAAAATGTTTGACTGCATTGTAATTGATTCAAATAAACAAATTTATGGCTAGATCTATTTGTTAAGGCCAACTCAGTTTTTGCCAAGGTCGCTGAGATGTAAATAAGGTTATGAAACATGATTGTTCGTGAGATGGTAGGTTAGGGTTAGGATAAGCATTTAGGGTTGGGATTAGTGCTAGCCCTGTTTACATCTCGTGACCTTTGACCAAACTTGAAAGATCCGACCCAAACTTCCCATAAGAAAACATACCTCATATGCTACTGGCATGACAATCTGTAGAAAAGCACTTATATATTCTGAGTTACCCATCGCATTCTGAAAAAAAAAACCCAAAAAATTAAAAGATTAAAACAAAAATACAGGTTAGTTGTCTTAGGGCTTGAGGTTCGTCGACAGATGGGGGGTTGGATGGCCGAATGGTTAGCACGCGCTTGGCTGTATCATACGGTCTGTCATTGAGTCAACTGGCGGGGTTTCGATTCCCCGGTTGTACGTGACAAGGAGTAGGGTCGCCTGTCCAACCTCCTGGGTTTTCTCCGGGTCCTCCGACTGCTAAAGACCCCTACACGCAACCGAATGATCGAAATAACATTGAACCATGTGTTAGTCCCGAAATGACCTAGTTTGTGTCGAGTGGACGTTAAACCCCATTTCTCTCTCTCTCTCTCTCTCGTAGACAGATGTTAGCAAAAAAAGGTAATAAAAAAAAGATAGCTGTATCATGAAATCAACAGAGAACATTGGGAACTTTAAATGGATAATTTTTGGACCAATATGTTGTTTGATACAATCTGATTAAAATACAGATCTATATTTCGTTGTTTTGTTTTATACTCTTGATGGCCTACGCTACATGAACACTCTGGTTAAAACACAAATCCAATTTCGTTTCGTTTTTATAGTTCAAAATTTCGATTTTACTTGTCTTTACTACACTTGGATCTGGAAGTGTTGTTATTTAACTTGTGTTCTGCTTGAAATGAGGGGTCAGCCAATCAAATGGTCTGTCGAATCGAGCGTTTGACCTTTATTGCGCGGAACTGTGGGTAGACATTAGCGGCAATAGAAATCAAAACAAAGCAAAAGTAGATAAAAAATAAATGGCCGTCGCTAATTGGTTAATCGAATGACTGACGTATTCGGGTAAAATGTCGCTTACTTGGTACCTGACGTCATAGAACGTGAACTCCCACTATAACTTGTTAGATCTACATGTAGTGTAGGCCATCGAAAGTATAAAAAACAAAACGAAATATAGATTTATATTTTAATCCAATTGCTACATGAAGATCTGACTGATTGTAGTGGAAGGTTGCGTAAAGGGTCATATAAGCAGCTTTTGACAAGTTAAACGAAATTTTGAACTATAAAAAGCGAAACGAAATAGGATCTGTGTTTTAATCAGATTGTTCTTTGATACAACTATGGTGCTTATTGTATGTAGTATAAAAGTAGTCTATATTAGAGGGGCTTAATGGAAGATTAGATAAAGAGCTGGCAGTTATACAGCTAAGTGGTCACAGTCGACTAAGAACCTTTTTGATAAGCCGCATTTGAGTATTTAGTTTCGTATTTAATTGATATGGCCACGCATGCGTGTCAGACAGGAACTTGTCTTGTCAAGGGCATTGAGAAAAACATGTCTTTGTTCAACATTTTTTGACGAAAAACATAATTTAACGATGTCAGGAAGGTTAAAGACGCTCGAAGTGGTTGAAATACTTATGAATTATTCCGACTCGGATTATATCGATGACACCGATTCTGAAGACGATATATCTGATGAAAAGGACTTAGAATGATTTGCAAATTATAAATCAACTTATCCGCTTCAACTTTTTTATTGGTGTCAAGAGTCTATCACTTATAATTATTCGACAGTAGTCGATTGAAATAGGCATACAAAATATTTCACATCAGCCTTTATTTAGCCTGACCACTTGATGTCATGACGTCAAAATGACGTCAACGGGTTAAGGGTTAAATGCATATGTACATGATTCCATAGTATATTGATATTATATCCTATATATACTCACATGATTCTATGGTATATTGATATTATACCCTGTATATACTCACATGATATCATGGTACATTGATATTATATCATACTCACATCATGGTACATTGATATTATATCATACTCACATCATGGTATATTGATATTATACCCTATATATACTCACATGATTCCATGGTATATTGATATTATAACCCTCACCATCACCACTTCCTATAAAATCATGACCACCATCGGGAGCCACCGGATAAAACCAACCATTATCAAATTTATGTAGTGATATAAATAATACACTGAAAAAATAAAAAAAACATAACATTATCATAATGATGTGATAAAAAAACCCATAAAACATGAAATTTTCATAGTTATGTTCGGATATAAAAGACATTGAAACATAAAACAAAATATTATCAAATTGATGAAAAAATAATACACCTTTGTCTTGACAGCAAAGTTTCCAACAACTCTTTTTCGATATACAAGGGGTCTTTTAAATGCACATCAATGTGCACACAGGTGGCCTCTATCGGAATTGGACAACTTAAAGAATCAAAGATGGGACCTCCTGGGTCCTTATTCATGAAAACTTAAACTAAGATACAATCAAAATTTTAAGAAATACTGCAATTCGATTGGCTGACCAGTAAAATCAATTTGCATATATCTAATTTGCATATTGGTCAGCCAATTGAATTGCAGTATTTCTTAAAATTTCGATTGTATCTTAGTTTAAGTTTTCGTGAATAAGGGCTCTTGTTAGTAAGCCAGCACCTTATGGCCTTACTCTCGTGTATAGTATAAATAAAGTTGAAGAAGCCCTGAGTAGAATTTGAATGTTGTGTTCACCTTAGAAGGCTTTTTCATCTACTCAACTTCGTGGTCCTTGGTAGTCAAGGGGTCAGGGGACTGAATGAAACCATTTAGTAAAATATCCCAGCTGGCCGAATGGTTAACATCTGCACTTGAGTTGAAATCATAAGATCTGTCATTGAGTCAAGTGGCATGGTTTCGATTCCCTTTTTCAAGGTGACATTAAAGAATAGGGTCGCCTGCCCAACCTTGTGGGTTTTCTCCGGGTCCTCTGGTTTCCTCCCACTACTAAAGACCCCCATGCGCAAGCAAATTATTGAAATAAAATTGAATATATGTTAATCCCGAAATGACCTAGTTTCTGTTTAGTGGACGTTAATCTCTCTCTCTCTCTCTCTCTCTCGCCTGTCCAACCTTGCAGGTTTTCTCTGGGACCTCCCATTGCTAAAGACCCCTACGTGCAAGGGAATTATTAAAATAAGACTGAACCATATGTTAGTCCCGAAATGACATAGTTTATGTTGAGTGGACGTTAAACCCCATTTCTCTCTCTCTCTTTCTCTCTTTTGATCTTTTCAGCTCGAGTTTCCTGTAGATTATCCGGTCAAGGACAGAAGCTCTTCCTGTTGTCAATCAATGATGAATAGAAAACAAAACACAATAATCTCAACACGATTTTTATATCAATTGTTGTCATATCACTGAATAACAACTTACCTCGGATCATTGTAAAACTGATTCTGTGTACCGTTACCATGGTGAACATCCCAGTCTAATATTAATACCCTGTTGTCAATAAAACAAATATTTCATCTTAAAAAACAATACTACATTGTTTTGATACGCCAAGACCTTAAAGAAGCTAAGTCTCTAACTCAATATCATCAAAAATCTTTGAGATTGAAAACACGATTTATTTGTCGGTTTAAATCAACATTGATGTTGTGATCTTACCGGGAAAAGATGGCCTTCTGATATCCAATATTTAAGACAAAATAAACATTTTACAATTGGTACACGAATAGTGTACCATAATGCGTTTCAGCGCTATTTGTAATAAGGGACCCTAAAAACAAGGCTAGGCATATTCCACAAGTCGTGTCAAACGGTGACGCTATATTCTTATCTAGAGAGCAAACCCAATAAATAATATCGGCGTAGACTGGAATAACCAGACGCTATATATTGAAATTCGATTGAGAATACTGGCGTATTTCGCCGAACCAAACTGATTAAAAATTAAAGTAAAAACAGAAACGATTGAATGTAAATCAATTTATATACATTCATATTACATAATTGTATGCGTTGCGACCCATTTGTGTCAATTTCTAGGTCCCAAGTATTAGCGACTTAGCTCCTTTAAATCTTCATAAGACTAACAGCTTATTCACATTGTTCTCCTTTTGAAGCAAGCCAGAGTGATTTTTTGTAATTAGTCAGGCTGTAATCATACAAGCTGCAATTGTTGAAAACATATATTAAAGATAAATTATGTAAGATTTAGATAAAGAGCTAGCCATATTGCTATAATAGTTCGAAAATAGATAATGTAAAATGAAAAATTTGAAAATTTCATTTAAATTACTCGATTGTGAGTGAAGATATTATCAGTTGACAAGACGTGAGCAATAATTTCAACCACCGCACTGGTTGTTCGAAGCTAAGTCTCGCTCCTCCATTTTTAGCTTAAATTAAAATATGGCTGAACTGTTCTAATCTATTTAATATCAGAGAAATCTGATGCCATCGAGAGTTGATTATGGCCTGGATAAGTTAATTAATGTCTAATTAATAATTTAGAAAACATTTCAGGCCAAATGAAAGACCTGCAATACACAGATTTAGCTCTTGCATAATGTATGTTTAAAATAAGCAATATGGAAATTATTCATTGCTTTATTTAACAGTTAAAACGTTTTCTGTGTTATATTTATAGCACAGCTTTCATGAGTTAACAGGTTTAAACATCAAGGCTGTAGGTCGAGATGTTAATCCTGTTAACGAATGAAGCGCGCTATAAATGACTTGTAACATTGACACCTGCTAAACATGCTTGTTGTTATTGCACAGAAAACCCACCCCACTTTCAGGCCAAAAGAAAGACCTGCAATAGGCAGATTTAGCTCTTGCATAATGTATGTTTAAAGATTGATTATGAGAGATTAGATAACGAGTTGGCAGTTCCCACTATAATAGTTAAAAACTAGATAATGTAAAGGGAATTTGCTGAAAATTTCAGTCAAATTGATTCACTCTAAACCAAGAATTTAGCGATTAAATTTTAGGCCTAACCTTGATCAACATTACTAAAATCTTTACGATAAAAAACATAGTCTCAATTATCCATTTATACTTAATCATCAGTGAGCGTTGAGCAGTAGATCTGATTCCAATCCAGTAAATATCTTAGGCTAGCGATGACATCGAGAGTTGATTATGGTCCGGATAAGTTAATTAATGTCTAATGAATAATTTAGAAAACATTTCAGGCCTAAAGAAAGACCTGCAATAGACAGATTTAGCTCTTGCATCATATCTGTTTTGTGAAACTGGGGCCAGAATGCTGATATAATTCTATATTCATCTTAAATAAGTATATACTGAATGGAACTGAACCATTTTTGGACATACATTCCTTTTACTGTTTCAAATTTCACAAGCTTGCCGTTTGCAAGGGATTCGTCACTTACTCAAATAACAATCAGAGACATCAATATATGACAGTACTTACCTTTTGACACCATATTTATTCTGTGCGTATTTTGCAGCAATGGCCACATTATTAAAAAAACAAAATCCCATACAAGTATCTCTCTCTGCATGATGGCCTGGAGGTCTATTTAAAAAAAAAAAAACTCATACAAAATTTATACATATATAGGAAATAATTCTAAGGAGAATGGGGTGTTGGATAGTCGAATAGTTAGCGTGTGCGCCTTGTATCATAAGTCATTAAGTCAACTGGCAAGCGTTTTATTGAAATAAAAATTGAACGAAATGTTAGTCACAAAAGGACGTAATTTGTGTCAAGTGGACTTTAAACTCCATTTATCTCTCTCTCTTGAAACCATCAGACTTGTTTGTTCTGTAATATTATAATACACAATGTTTTGATTTGTATCATCTTATTGTAATTATATTTCAAATTTTATTTCAATAATTCGCCTGCGCGTAGGGGTCTTTAGCAGTGGGAGGAAATCGGAGGACCCGGAGAAAACCCACTCCTTGTCACATACAATCGAGGAATCGAAACCCCGCCAGTTGACTCAATGACAAACCTCATGATACAGTGCGCACATGTGATGGTTTCAAAACAATCTTTAACGGTAATATTACAGAACGAACAAGGCTGATGATTTCTTAAAATGCATATAAATAAAATTATTTAACCATTATAAATTGTATGACAATAAATCTAACCTGTTTATTGCCACCCCATTTTGTGCCTGGAAGAAAAATTATGACACAAATTACGAAACAAACTTAAATAAGGAGTACGAAATCAATAAATTTCAATGTACAAAATATGTCAACTAATGTACACAAACACATCATCATCGGCCTATTTTATTGTGCGGCCACAGTGGCTAAGTGGGTAAGACGCTGGCTCACTAGCATGGAGGTCGGGTTCCGATAGGGTTTCCCATTGTCTGTGGTGCAGGACGGAGAGCCTGACAAGGACAGCTGTCTAGTCGTTCAGATAGGACAAAAAACCAAGGTCCCGTATATACATTGGAATGCATGTAAAAGATCCCTTAGCAGATGGAATTCAATTTAAGAGTAAGTCATAGTGCCGCTGCCCAGGCAAAATTTCCCTCATAGCACACTGTATGGCAATTGCCCGTCTTCATTAGACCAGTCGGAGCAGAACAGTAGGATTTTAAACCACATTTCATTTCATTTTCCTATTTTAACGCTGGAAAGTAGCAGAGACCATGATGTAAATAACAATATTTGCAGCATAAACCAAAGTTTAGAGGATAACCATAGGCTACCTGCAACGTCAGACATAAAAACAAGTGGTTGTCATGCAAGATACGTCCACATTTTGCAAGAGATGAACTGTGAATAAGCTAAATAAAGCGTTTTCCATACAATCAGGGGCCATAATCCAGGATGTTACGGTCTGACATATGTCAATATCGCGAGGAACCGAGGTCTTTTGGTTATAAACATATATTTTAAGTTTCATCAAAAATTGGATTAAAGTTGTGACCTCTAGAGGGTCCACTACCTTGGTGTTGCATGCTTATTATACTATTTGTGTAAAGAACCCAAATGTAATTATGGTGTAACCTTGACATAATGAATTTACTGGCTGATACATACAAATATTGAATGGAAGCAAGATCTGTGGGATATAAACCTATATTTCAAGTTTCGTCAAAATCAGAAAAAAATTATAACCAGCTGAGTGCCTACAATCAAAATGTGAACGTCAGGTCAGACAGGATCGACGACAATACATGTCCACATGATAATGTGGGTGTACAAAAATAACCTCTTACAATCCTGGCATTTTGTTTCGACAGTCGGCAAATGCCAACGACTCTGCATTTTTTCTTCTTCACATTTTGCCTAAAGGCAAGAATTGCTCTTACAAAGATGTACCTGTGCCGCGGATTTATAATAGAATGTATCTACCTGATGACAAGAGAAGGTAAACTGATTTGTATATTTATTTTTTTTTGCCTCCGTTGTAAATTATTGTGGTGTGTTATTTAATTTATTAGCTATATCTTTTGTATTATATGTTCTACGAAGAGCAGGACTTCAACCCTTCTTAAATAAAGTCATTATTATTATTATTATTATTATTAAGGTATCTATAATAAAATGTATTTACCTGACCAGAGAGAACAGTATCAACAACATTTAAAACACTACCAGCAGATAATAAGGCACATTCATACGATTTCTGAAACATATCAATATTCATATTTCAATTTATCTGGCTGAGGATCAAAAAACAATAAACGTCTTTAAAATTATCTTGGCATAAAAAGAACGCAAAGAAAGTGTGTCATATTTCAGTTGGTTTAGTCTCTACAATGATGGGGGGTCAGGGCTGTCAATTGGACTAATACATGTGTTTTGGATCATACAATGTCTATCAATGAGTCAAGTGGCGTGGTTTCGATCACACACTTATAAGTGACAACGAGTAGGGTCACATCCCTAACATTGTGGGTTTCTTGGGGTTTTCTGGTTTCCTCCAATAGCTAAAGACCCTCACGCTAACATCAGCAGTCCAAATAGGGTCGACATATGATACAAAAAGGGTCTAAACTGAAGCTGCTGTGAATATTAGATCTTTTGTAAAGAAGAAAATCAGAACCATAGAGATGACACAATTTAAAGATATCTTTTCTGGATAAAAGTCCATATTTATTTTTGCAGAAGTCACATCTTTGTGGGAGCCACGGTGGCTAGGTGGTTAAGACGCTGGCTCACTAGCCTGGAGGTCGGGTGTTCGATCCCTGCATTGGCCGAGAAAGTTCATCCTGATTTTCCGACGTGGTTTCCCCTTGTCAGTGGTGCAGAACGGAGGGCCTGACAAGGACAGCTGTCTAGTCCTTCGGATGAGACGAAAAACCGAGGTCCCGTGTATACATTAGAATGTACGTAAAAGATCCCTTGGCAGTTGGAATTCGATATAAGAGTAGGCGATAGTGCCGCTGCCCGGGCAAAATTTCCCTCATAGCACACTGTATGGCGTATGCCCGTCTTCATTAGCCCAGTATAGGAGCAGAACAGTAGGACGTTAAAGCTCATTTCATTTCATTTCACATCTTTGTGTTATATTCCCCATCAATGTATTGATGTCCATGAAAGAATTTGCTCTGCTCTGCTAAATAACACCCCTACACCAAAGTCAAAGCATACTCATTGATATTTGTAAAGCCACAGCTTGTCTGATTTTAATCTAAACACATAATTTGCTGTGCAAATAATAAATACCACAAAATATTTCTACAGAATATTAATAGCAGAATATTCAGTGGTCTGCAATCATTTCAATAACAAGAGTTACTTCCCTTAGAACATTGGGAATAAAGTAGCAGTGGTAGTTTAAAATATTTTGGCATGAAAACAAGTTATAGACATTTTAAAAGAGACAGATATAATTAGATTGATTTACCGTGCATAAATATAATTAGATTGATTTACCGTGCATAAATATATTGAGTTGTATTCTTGGCCCTTATCACGTAATGCAAAATCACCCATTTTTGGCGTAGATTTAATATCATCCAAATAATCTTGACTGAAAAACAGAAATGACCTCTCGTCTATTAATAATGTTAGCTGATCAGTTTTTGTCTTTTATTCATGGAGAAAGGTCACCTGCCCAATCTCGTGGGTTTTTCCTGGGTTTTCCCTGCCACTGCTAAAGACCCCTATGTGCTAGTGAATTATTGAAATAAAAAAAATTGAACCATGTGTTAGTCAAAAAAAGACCCGATTTGTATGGAATGGACGTTAAACCCCATTTTTCTTTTTCTGTACATGAGGTAGGTATACTTACCTGATACATCTCATCACAAAACAAAACTTTTTACAAAATGAAATGAAATGAAATGGGGTTTAACGTCCTACTGTTCTGATCCAAACTAGGCTAATCAAGACGGGCAGCTGCACTATGGCGTACTCTTATATCGAATTCCAGCTGCCAAGGGATCTTTTACGTGCATACCAATGTATACACAGGACCTCGGTTTTTCATCATATCCGAACTACTAGACAGCTGTCCTTGTTAGACACTCCGTCCTGCACCACTGACAAGGGGAAACCACGTCAGAAAATCCTGATGACCTTTCTCGTCCAAAAGAGAGAGAGAGAGAAATGGGGTTTAACGTCCAATCGACACAAACTAGGTCATTTCGGGACTAACACATGGTTTAATTTTATTTCAATAATTCGCTTGCGCGTAGGGGTCTTTAGCAGTGGGAGGAAACCGGAGGACCCGGAGAAAACCCACGAGGTTGGACAGGCGACCCTACTCCTTGCCACGTACAACCAGGGATTCGAAACCATTCTCGTCCAATGCAGGAAACTTTTGACAATGTAACATTAGAATAAGGTACATACATACATTTGTAATGGGCAACCACGATCTTTTATTAAGCTAGTTTAATGAAGAGTTGCGGCAATTTTGCACGGACAGCGACACTACAGCCTACTCTTATATCGAATTCCAACTGTCAAGGGTTCTTTTAAGTACACACCAATGTGAACATGGGTCCTCATTTTTTTCCCCATCCAAACAACTATAGGTTGTGACTTGCCAGGCCCTCCGTCAAAACTAGTTTAAAGCCACATTTAGTTTTATAAAGTATATACTGTACTGTACCTATGAATGGTCAACAGTTCCTCTTCTGTTGCTAATCTAGACTGAAAATTTATAAACAAAATAGCAATTACTTATTTTTTCCTCATGCATAATCATTACTTAAATGGGGGGTTGGATGGCCGAATGGTTAGCGTCTATCATTGAGTCAACTGGCGTGTACGTGACAAGGAGTTGGGTTGCCTGTCCAACCTTGTGGGTTTTATCCGGTCCTCTGGTTTCCTCCCACTGCTAAAGACCCCTACACGCACCCGAAATCACCTACATGTAGTTTGTGTCGATTGGACGTTAAACCCCATTTCTCTCCCTCTCCCACTTAAACACGTGGATTAGTTAATGAGTTCCCTAGTCTAAAATAACAATCTGGATCACTACGACACAAACAGCCAAAATATTGTTCATAATATAACAAGGGAGAAAACTCTATTCACTATGCTGACAAATATGGACAGTTGAGATATTAAGAAAGTAGAGCGGTGCCTATCCCCCAATATACAATCAGGAAAATGCTCCACATTCCTAAAATCGGACAGTTTGAACAAGGAGAAAATTATGCAAGCCCCGAGGTCACAAAGCATTCTCAGACTTAAGTTAAGAATTTACTCAACTTTCAATCACTGTTTTAATGTGATGGGCAGCATCGCTTGAAATCAGGTCCATGTTCACAAAGCATGTTCACCATATTTTAATTAAAATATAGGCCTTTATAAAACTTTTGTTGTTTTAATATATCAAATACATCACTAAGAAACTATGTGAAAGTTTGGTGTTTCTGGATCAAAGATATCTCTCATAAACAGTGATTGAAAATTGAGTAAATTCTTAACTTAAGTCTAAGAATGCTTTGTGAACTCGGGTCAGAGCCTATACGCATGCAGTGAAATGCTCTGAATCCCTAATATAACATCCATTTATCCAGAGCAATATCAGTTATCTCAACAGGAAAATGGTCCACCTCCCAGAAGTGACATAAACTAGAACAACAGGGTTAAAAATCCGCTCGGACCGTATCAACCACTGAAAGGATCAAGTGGAGTTGTCATATCATTTTAGGTATTATCGTCCAGAGACATATCAGTTATCTTAACAGGAAAATGCTCCACATCCCTGAAGTGTCATAAACTAGAACAACATGGTTAAACATCTGCTCGAACCGTTTCAACCCCTGAAGGGATCAACTCGAGTTGTCATTTATCAAACCAGAAAAGTATGCCATGAATTTACCTGTACTTGTAAACATCTCTTTAATAATTTCCATTCTACATGCAGATTATATATAGACGATATTCTGTCTGGTCGTTCTGGATGACTACTAGAAAAAACATAAATCCATAAATCATCAACATAACTATGAAAATAATGTATTACACCATTAAAGCAACCATCCCTGGTGTAATAATGTATTACACCATTAAAGCAACCATCCCTGGTGTAATAATGTATTACACCATTAAAGCAACCATCCCTGGTGTAATAATGTAGTACACCATTAAAGCAACCATCCCTGGTGTAATAATGTATTACACCATTAAAGCAACCATCCCTGGTGTAATAATGTAGTACACCATTAAAGCAACCATCCCTGGTGTAATAATGTAGTACACCATTAAAGCAACCATCCCTGCCGTAATAATGTTACACCATTAAAGCAATGAAATGAAATGAAATGAAATGGGGTTTAACGTCCTACTGTTCTGCTCCTATACTGGGCTAATGAAGACAGGCATACGCCATACAGTGTGCTATGAGAGAAATTTTGCCCGGGCAGCGGCACTATCGCCTACTCTTATATTGAATTCCAACTGCCAAGGGATCTTTTACGTGCATTTCAATGTATACACGGGATCTCGGTTTTTCGTCTCATCTGAAGGACTAGACAGCTGTCCCTGTCAGGCCCTCCGTTCTGCACCACTGACATGGGGAAACCACGTCGGAAAATCAGGATGAACATTCTCGGCCAATGCAGGGATCGAAAACCCGACCTCCAGGCTAGCGAGCCAGCGTCTTAATCACCTAACCACCGTGGCTCCCACCATTAAAGCAACCATCCCTGCCATAATAATGTAGTACACAAACACCATTAAAGCAACCATCCCTAACAATTTCTGAAATCCAAGTCTACCATGTAGCTTTTAACTTCTGGAATCCATGTCTAAGCTGTAACTGCATCCACCACTACATTGTACTGTGCATGAGAATGAAATGAAATGATGTTTAACATCTTACTTTTCTACAACAACAGTATAAAGAAAAAGGGAGAGAGAGAGAAATGGGGTTTAACGTCAACTTGACACAAACTAGGTCATTTCGGGACAAGCATATGGTTCAATTTAATTTCAATAATTCGCTTGTGTGTAGGGACACACAAATGGTCAGTGTGTGCGACTTGTATAATAAGGTCTGCCATCAAGTCAAATGGTGTGGTTTCGATTCCCTGGTTGTATGTGACAAGGAGTAGGGTCGCCTGTCCAACCGCGTGGGTATTCTCTGGGTCCTCCAGTTTCCTCCCATTGCTAAAGACCCCGACGTGCAAGCGAATTATTGAAATAAAATTGAACCATATGTTAGTTACGAAATGACCTAGTTTATGTCAAGTGGACGTTAAACCCCATTTCTCTCTCTCTTTGACAAACTCTGTTGTGCACCACCGACAAGGGAAAAAAAAGGCTGAAAGATCCCAAGAACCAACGCAGGGTTCAATCCTGGGACATCCTGATTAGTGAGCCAGTGTGGATCACATGCTGTGCATGAGGTGGGGTATTCTAATCCTTTCTAGAACATTAAATATCACTTCTCATTTTAAGAGTTTAAATCTCTTCAAAAATATCAACACTTACCTCATAAACAAATTTTTATGAGCTCGCATATCAGCATCAAAAACAAGACAAGTTCTGAAAATAAAGATATCTATATATGCATAATTCTCAAAAGGTTGGATGGCCGAATGGTTAGTGTGTGCACATAGTATCATAAGGTCTGACATTGAGTCAAATGGCGTGGTTTCGATTATGATACAACACGCACACGCTAACCATTCGGCCATTCAATCCCCCCAAAACAAATAGTAACATTATTCTAATACACTATAATGAATGGCAGTGAAATTGGGCGACTGAAGAACTTACCTGCCAGTCAATTTTACATGACATGAAATTAGAATTTCAAAGAATTGAATCTTACTACACAATAAATTCAGTTAAATCTATGGTTTTATTGAAACAAAACTTGACATTTTGGCGTCTAATAAAGTTTATTGATATTGTCAACCAATTGTTAATATGGGATAATGACACTACTACATTTTGTCAACCAAAATATGGTATAATGACTCCACATTTTGTGAATCAAATGTCAATGTGGTTACATTTTGTCAACCAATTGTTAATGTGATATAACCGATCCACATTCAGTCAACCAAATGCTAATATGGTGTCAACCAAATTGTTAATGTGGTATAACCAATCCACATTTAGTCAATCAAATGTTAATATGGTGTCAACCAAATTGTTAATGTGGTATAACCGATCCACATTCAGTCAACCAAATGTTGTCAACCAAATTGTTAATGTGGTATAACCGATCCACATTCAGTCAACCAAAGTTTAATATGGTGTTAACCAAATTGTTAATGTTGTATAATGATTCAACATTTGTCAATCAAATGTTAATGTAGTACAATGTGGTTAATGTTTATGAAGTAAAAAAGACTGTACGAAATTTGAACGCAACCGTCATTAGGGTGTAACAGTAATATATATAAAAAACATTTTAAATCAGTTGAAAATTGTGACCTCTAGAGTGTCCCCAAGCTGAAAACGTGATTTTTCGTACAATCAAGGGCCATAATCCATGAAGTTATGGTTCGATACATGCCAATAACGAAAGGATCCAAAATTGGATAAATATTGTGACCTGTAGAGTGTCCACAAACAAATTGTGGATGGACGTCCAAAAGGACAGGGGCGACGGCATAATACGTCCACATGAAAATGTGATCGTATAAAAACTCTACATTTTGTCAACCTAAGGTGTAATAAGGTAAATCCAAAGGTGTAATAAGGTAAATCCAAAGGTGTAAATCCAAAGGTGTAATAAGGTAAATCCAAAGGTGTAATAAGGTAAATCCAACAGTACTAACCTATGTGCAGCTTTATTTAAAGAAACTTCTGCTATTAAATTATTCAACCTCTGGTCATACATCTGCTGCCTCTCTTTCGTCTGTGAAGGGAAAAACTCAGATCCCATGATATCATACTTCTCTGGACGATTCTCATTTGTGGCAAACTCAATATCTGGTCTTAAAACAAAAGAATAAACAAAGACTGAGCAGAGTGTGTGTGAGGAGGGGGGGGGGGGGGATGGGGCTTGTCAACCAACAGCCAAGTGCAACTCTGTCCCACCTCTATGATATGCACTTGACATCCAATATCCTCAAACTTTGAAATTTAATTGGTTCTTCTTTATGCCCTAATGAATAATATCAATTTTTAACAAGTTCCATTGTGAACTCTATCCTAAAATAGGGTTCTCAAAATTTAATGGATTTGAACATGAACTGGGGATAAATCCACGATTTGCAAACAAAAAATTATATATTTAAATTAGATTGATCCTTAAATTTTTATTATTTTTTTCCTGTATTGCGTTCATAAGTTAAAATACGAACAGAGTGATAACTTCTCATCTTTATTCTATTTCTTATTATTACATCAAGATATTTGTTAAAGGGGCTAAATCGCTAATATTTGGGACCTAGGAATTGACACAAATGGGTCGCAACGCATATAATAATGTAATGTGAATGTATATAAACTGATCTACATTCAATCGTTTCTGTTTTTACTTTAATTTCTAATCAGTTATGTTCGGCGAAATGCGCCAGAAGTCTCAATTTTATGGCAATCTCTAGCGTCTGGTTATTCCAGTCTACACCGATAATATTTATTACGCATGCTCTCCAGATAAGAATACGACGTCAACGTTTGACATAACTTGTAGAATTTGCCTTGCCTCGTTTTTGAGTCCCTTATTACAAATAGCGCTGAAACGCATCATGGTACACGATTTGTGTACCAATCGTAAAATGTTTATTTTGTCTTAAATATTGGATATCAGAAGTCCATCTTTTCCCGTTAAGATCACAACATCAATTTTGCTTTAAATTGACAAATAATTTGTGTTTTCAATGTCGAAGATTTTGGACGATACTGAGTTAGAGACTTAGCTACTTTAAGTCAGAAATGAATATTAACGTGATATTTTTTAAACTTAATATTAAACTGTTCCTAAAAACTTACTTTGGCGGTAATTCAAGTAGGGCATCATACTGACATATTTCACCATCTTCTAAAATATCTTGATTAAAAAAACAATTCCAATATGGCTTGAGAACTTTAATAACATTTAAAATACTTTCTGTTACACTGAAAAATATGAAGAGATAAGACAGAATTCTTATGAGGCTGATGTCTCTCTTCCATAATCCCCTAATAGATGAAAAGTGTTAATTATTTGTATATTTAACTTTTTAACTTTTTATAAAGAGAGAGAGAAATGGAGTTTAACTAAAACACGATTCAATTTTTATTTCAATAATTTGCTTAAGTGTAGGGGTCTTTAACTGTGGGAGGAAACCGAGGACCCGGAGAAAACCCATGAGGTTGGACCCTACTCCTTGTCATGTACAAGCAGGGAATCGAAAGAGAGAGAGAGAGAGAGAGAGAGAGGGGTCTTTAACTGTGGGAGGAAACAGAGCCCCCCCCCCCCCCAAAAAAAAAATGAGGTTGGACCCTACTCCTTGTCATATACAAGCAGGGAATCAAAACCTGCTCAATGACAGACCTTCTTGTGATGCCACGCACACACGTTAAGCCACTAGACCACACAATCGCCCAACTTTTTATAAAGCATGAAGCTTACCACTCAGCTTAACCTGAGCAGAAAATGCTCATCATTTAACTTAGTCCGGGTATTCAAAATAAACTAGGGCATTTTGGGACTAACATATAGTACAATTTTATTTCAATAATTTGTTTGCACCTAGGGATCTTTAGCAGTGGGAGGAAAGTCATGACATTAGGCAGTCTACCCTACTCTTTGTCACAAACTAGTGTGGGATTGAAACCATGTCACTTGAATCAATGACAGACCTTATGATCTATTATTTATTTCAATAATTTGTTTGCACCTAGGGATCTTTATCAGTGGGAGAAAAATCTTGACGTTAGGCAGACGACCCTACTTTGTCATGTACTAGTGTGGTATCGAAACCATGTCACTTGAATCAACGACAGACCTTATGATCTAAAGCACACGCATTACGTACAGCAGTCAACCACTCATCTAACAGTAACAAATATACACATTGTTAAAGATACATTATGGGAGATTAGATAAAGAGCTGGCAGTTCTCACTATAATAGTTAAAAACTAGATAATGTAAAGGGAATTTGCTGAAAAGTTCAGTCAAATTGATCCACTCTGAACCAAGAATTTAGCGATTGAATTTTAGGCTTAGCCTCGATCATCATTACTAAAGTCGGTATGATAAAAAACATAGTCTCAATTATCCATTTTTTGACTTAATCATGAATGAGCATTGAGCAGCAGATCAGATTGTAATCCAGTAAATATCGCAGGCTAGTGATGACATCGAGAGTTGATTATGGTCTGGATAAGTTAATTAATGTCAAATTAATAATTTAGATAACATTTCAGGTTTAAAGAAAGACCTGCAATAGGCAGATTTAGCTCTTGCATAATGTATGTTTAAATTATAATAACAACAACAGAATATAAATAAACTGAATTAAATATTTTGAAAGCTAATTCTAATATTTTGAAAACTAATTCCAATATTTTAAAAAGTAATTCTAATATTTTGAAAACTAATTATATTATTTTTTTAAAGAAATATAAAGATAGAAATATACTTGTCTGATGGTTCTTGTGTAGGTTTTAATAATGGACACGGATCTCCTAATAACGCCCGTAAAGATAAAGCACATCCTTCAGCTAAAGATTTCAAACAATAACCACCCTAAAAACAAACAGATGGGCTATAATTATAAAATATGAAATGAGGGATTCCGAAGGTTCCTATACTTCTGGAAACGAACTATTAATATATTTAGGTGATGTTTTGAAGAGTATTCTCTCAATGTTATTAAGCTAATTGGCTGTTATTCAAAATCAAACACGCAGGGTCAGCCTTTAAAATGAACGAAATGAAACGGGTTTTAACGTCCTACTGCTCTGCTTCGACTGTGCTAATGAAGACGGGCATACGTCATACAGTGTGCTATGAGGGAAATTTTGCGCGGCCAGCAGAACTATGGCCTACTCTTATATCAAACTCCAACTGCCAAGGGATTTTTTACGTGCATGCCAATGTGTACACAAGACGTCAGTTTTTCATCCTATCTGAACGACTAGACAGCTGTCTCATGTCAGGCTCTCCGACCTGCACCTAGTGACAATGGGAAACCACGTCGAAAAATCCTGATGAACTTTCTCGGCCAGCACGGGGAGAGAACCCGCGACCTCCAGGCTAGTGAGCCAATGTCTTACTCACTTAGCCAAAGGTGGCTCCCGCGTATGTAGTAGATAGTAAGCTTTCCAGGTTGATATTTAGGACGTTAAACCCTATTTCATATCATTTCTACTACATATGAAATAGGGCTATAACACTTCAAGAAAATACCCCACCTCTAAAACAGCACAAACTCTTCCTGATGAAACCGCTCCTAGCATGTTAATAAAATGAGCGTATGCTGCCGGTGTTACTTCCATCTCACCCTGATAAACAAACAACAAAAATAATTAAAACACTTATTGTAAGCTTTGAAATTTATATATACGAAATAGATCAATATTATATAGAAAACTTTTTAACTGTTAAATAAAGCAATGAATAATTTCCATACAAACAAGGAAAGAAACAATTATAATTCCAATTTGATTATTTAATGAGAAAATTGATCTCTGAAGAAATTAATGAATTTATAGCAAAAAAAATGTATAGCTTATTGTAAGCTATGAAACAAAAATATATTCAAAACAGATCAATTTTATATAGAAAACTTTTTAACTGAAAAATAAAGCCATTTCACATAAGGAAAAAACAGTTGTATAAAAGAATCGAAGCTCTAGGTCTACAGATATTAAAGAATTTTAAAACAAAATTGAACTTTAAATTCTTAAACCTGAATTAACATCAGTGTTTATGTACATAAATTTCTTTAAATGCATGCTGAATAAAATGTAGGCTACCGTATTCTAAAACAAATTTCAGTTCAAACTCTATAGAAATGACAGAATTTTAAAACAAAGATCTATGGGTATGTAGTAAACTTCTATAAATGCAAGCTGAATAAACTATAAGAAATTCTAAAACAAATGTCAAGCATTAACGAAAACTGCAGATCGTCATTTGCATTTTTAAATGCTAAAGTGTTTTCAAATTGATTATTTCACATTTAATTAAAAAAAACAAAATCAAAATTTTAACAGATAATCATGCAGCTGGGATTTAATCAAAATAAAGTGAGACCTATCAAAAAGGGGACTTGTTTTGACTATAATCTGCGAGGAATTGAATTATCAGTTCATCATATCTTTGTAAATACTTAAAGGAATTGAATTATCATTCCATCATATCTTTGTAAATACTTGAAGGAATTGAACAATCAGTTCATTATTTCTTTGTAAATACTTAAAGGAATTGAACAATCAGTTCATCATATCTTTGTAAATTCTGAAAGTAATTCAATTATTAGTTCAACATATCTTTGTAAATACTTTAAGGAATTCAATTATTAGTTCATCATATCTTTGTAAATACTGAAAGGATATGAAATAACAATTCATCATATCTTTGTAAATACAGGAATGTATGATTATCCAGTATCATTTATCTCATCATGTTGTTTATAGGAATGTATGATTATCCAGTATCATTTATCTCATCATGTTGTCTACAGGAATGTATGATTATCCAGTATCATTTATCTCATCATGTTGTTTATAAGAATGTAGGATTATCCAGTATCATTTATATCATCATGTTGTTTACAGGAATGTAGGATTATCCAGTATGATTTATATCATCATGTTGTTTACAGGAATGTAGGATTATCCAGTATGATTTATGATTGTCAGCAATATAATATTAATCAGGGTTGCGTACTGGATAAATGAGGGTTTACAAAATTTATGGATTCATTCAAACTTTGTAATAGATAGAGTAACTTCCTGTAACCGGCGTATAACATTTACAAGCGGTAACTAATAAGTGATTATACAAAAACCAGAATTTTTTTTTCATATGGCCTAATAAAACTAAAAGTTAACAAAATAAATACAGTGGAATCTGTCACATTCAGCTTCAGAACACTAAAGCTACAGCATTGAGCACGTCATGCTGTGTAATCTGGCAAATATTTTAACGATCCTATACGATGTCGAAAGTGACAGATTCCACTGTATCTGTATATTTGGATGCTGGTATATAAACAAACAATCTGGTTAAAACAAAGATCCTATTTCGTTTCGTTTTTATAGTTCAAAATTTTGTTTTACTTGTCTTTACTAGTGTGAGGTATTAGCAAATGAAACGGTCTGTTACGGCGAGCTTTAGGCGTGTTTTGCACGTAACTGTGGGTAATCCATCGAAAGTATAAAAGAAAGGTTGCCAGGCAACAAAACATATGCCCACAACAGCTAAATTGTCCAGGCAGTCAACAAGAGTTGTCGCATATTTTTACTTTTTTCGGTAATGAAACATTTATAATACACTAAAATCTGATTAAGAGCAACAACTCATGAAGTAATTATCAGAAAACCATTAGAATTTGTTTGTTTTTATCAAGTTCTGCCCCATGCTAACGTTTTGTATACAAAACTTTTAATATCATGGATTTAGCTGTTCAAGACATAAAAATTCATTGAAAATCAATGTACTTGTTCGTCTCAAGATCTTAAACCCTGTGTATCAATCTGAAGTCAATCGGATGATAACTTTAGCCTTTAGAGCGTCACAAAATGATCAAGGGCCATAACTTTGGCAGTAATTATCGTGAATCGTTGAAAATCAATAGGATTCTTTGTCGCATGACCTTAAACACTGTGTGTAAATTTAAAGTCAATCGGATATTAACTTTAACCTCTAGAGCATCCACAAGATTTTTCAAAGTGATCAAGGGCCATAACTCTGGCAGTAATAATCGGAAATCGTTGAAAATCAATAGGCTTCTTCGTCTCATGACCTTAAACACTGTGTATAAATTTAAAGTCAATTGAATATTAACTTTGGCCTCTAGAGTGTCCACAAGATTTTTCAAAGTGATCAAGGGCCTTAACTCTGGCAGTAATAATCGGAAATCGTTGAAAATCAATAGGATTATTCGTCTCATGACCTTAAACACTGTGTATAAATTTAAAGTCAATTGGATATTAACTTTGGCCTCTAGAGCGTCCACAAGATTTTTCAAATTGATCAAGGGCCATAACTCTGGCAGTAATAATCGGAAATCGCTGAAAATCAATAGGCTTTTTCGTCTCATGACCTTAAACACTGTGTATAAATTTGAAGTCAATCAGATATTAACTTTGGCCTCTAGAGTGTCCACAAGCAATTGTGGACGCCGAACGGGCGTACGGGGGTGACGACAATATACGACCACATTTCAATGTGGGCGTATAAAAACGAAACGAAATATAGATCTGTATTTTAATCACATTGATAAACAAAATACCTTATCATCTCCTAAAGCTGCATCCAAACCAAGTGACACAAAAATCAGGTTAGGTGAAAACTGGTTAAGAAAGAAAAAAAGACAAAAAACAAACTACAAAAGATGTTATACTACTGACAGTGTGGTAGTGTATGTATGTATACCTCAGGACATCCCAGGGCAGCGTCGTAACCACATGATACAAGAGTTAATAGAGGTGAAAACTGGAAACAGAAGAATCGTTACACAAACATGAATTAAATGATATAGAAATAAAGATACATTTTGAAACAGTTTAATCTGCCTATTGCAGGTCTTTATTTTGGCGTCAAATGTTATATAAATTATCATTTAGACATTTATTCACATGACAAGCCTATAATTAAAGTTCTAGATCATTGGATGGCCAAGTTTCAACTAGAAAACATATGACATTTAAAAATTTAAAAATAAAATGGATAAACAAGACTTAGACTCAATTATCAAGTACTGTTGCTACGATAATGAACAATCTACGCTATGTCTTGTCCAACCTTTAAACACCCAAAACTCGGATCAGAATAAAGTTATTTGAATGAAATTTTCAATTAAATCATTTTCCATTAAGGATTAATTAAAAGCGGGATTAGATAAGATAAGATAAAGAGCCGACAGTTTTCGTTATAATAGTTAACAAATAGATAATGAAAAGAGAATAAATATTTTGAAAATTTCAGTCAAATTACTTAACTCTGAGCCAAGGAATCGGCGCCATAATTATAATCTAGCCTTGATTGTCATTAATACCATTGTTACAATAATAAGCAAAGTATTGATTATCAATTTTTACGGTAACCGCATCCAGCACAAGTGTATTTGAATCCACTAAATATTGCAGGCATCCAATAGCATGGAGAATTGATTATGGTCTTGGTAAGTTAATAAATGTCTTAATTAATAGGAATAGGGTCGCCTGTCCAATCTCGTGGGTTTTCTCCGGGTCCTCCAGTTTCCTCCCACTGCTAAAGACCCCTACGCGCAAGCGAATTATTGAAATAAAATTAAACCATATGTTAGTCCCGAAATGACATAGTTTGTGTCGAGTGGACGTTAAACCCCATTTCTCTCTCTCTCTCTTAATTAATAATTTAGATAACATTTCAGGCCTAAAGAAAGACCAGCATATTTAACTATCACAGCAAGAACGGCCAACTCTTTATCTAAATCTTACATAATGTATCTTTAAACATACTACTTTCCTGTAACAAGTGGGCTACAAGTGGGCTCATATGCATATGAGAGCAATTTGTCCGAACAGAAATTGAATTCCATCTGTCAAAAGTACTTTCATGTGCACATCAATGTGTACATGGGATCTTGTTTTTCCGCCCAATCTGAATGACCAAATAGTTGTACGTGACAAGGAGTAGGGTCGCCTGTCCAACCTCGTGGGTTTTCTCCGAGCCCTCAGATTTCCTCCCACTGCTAAAGACCCCTACGAGCAAGCCAACTATTCAAATAAAATTGAAGCATATGTTAGTCCCAAAATGACCCGATTTGTGTCAAGCGGATGTTAGTGAGCCAACACCTTACTCACTGAGCCACCCATTGATCCTAATTCTGAGTCATTCATTCTCTTTGAACTCTACCTGAATGTAAGGTATCGTCATCTGCTATATTGGATATCTTGACTGACAACATTTAGTCATGAATTGAGCTGTTCTCCATGAAGGATATAGCTAAGTGAGTAAGACGCTGACTACCTGGAGGTCGGATGTTCGATCCCTGCATCAGCTGAGAAAGTTCATCCAGATTTTCCGGCATGGTTCCCACCTTGTCAGTGATGCAGGACCGTGGGCCTGACAAGGACAGCTGTCTAGTCGTTCGAATGGGACAAAAAAAACAAACCGATGTCCCATGTACACATTGGTGTGCACGTTAAAGATCCCATAACAATTGGAATTCGATATAAGAGTAGGCCATAGTACCGCTGTCCGGGTAAAATTTCCCTCATAGCACACTGTATAGCATATGCAAGTCTTCATTAGCCCTGTTCGAAGCAGAACAGTAGGATGTTAAACCCCATTTCATTGAATTTCATTTGATCACTGTGGCCCCCCTGATCAAAAGAAAGCTTACTTCATAAGCAATTGGCATTAAAACCTGCTGTAGTATAGCTATATATTCACTATCTGTCATTCCAGTCTGAAAAATACAAGCAAAAAATAAAATTCTTTTCAACACATTTCCTCTCAGTTTACCAATAAGTAATTAAAACGAAAGTACAACAAATATCTGAAAATCGGGATTGAACACAGGACATGCATAGAGAGCAGACATTACATGCTCATTAGACCTGTAGGTAATTTTTAATTCTCTATTAGGACGGTCAATAATACATGAACTGTTGGCATTTATGCACATGTATGCCCTGCTAGATCTTCCTAAGTGTGCCGCGAAATTTTGAACGGCACACTAAGAAATTGCGAAAGGCCACTTGATCTCAATTGAGTATTCACTGGCGCTACTGGTACGTTCATAGCTGTGTTTTTCTTTATTTAGTTTGAGTCATTCTATGTTTCTATGACTAGTCTGTGTCTATGGTTGTATGCCGTCTATGACTTGCCATGTTTTTATTTTGCAAAATTCAAATATTTTTCATATATATTTAGCCAGGTGTGCCGCTATTTTTTCATGTGTTCAGAGGTGTGCCGTTGCCAAAAAAGGTTGAGACCCACTGCCTTGGACATTGTAATTTTCAACTATGGCAATTGAATACCTATAAATGATAGTTGAACATGCTTGCAACAAACTAACTCTGTTCAATGGTAAAATGGTGGACGTATCCTGAACAGCGTTTCTGGATGGTGATAGTCTGTCTGTTGACATCATTAGTTAAAATGTCAAAAAAAATCAAAAATAAACAGGGTGATAATCTGCAGAGAGAATTTCTGAAAATGCTAAAAATTAATAAATAAATAACATGGCACATACTAACCTTGTTCAATGGAACATTGACATTAAAACCTTTACCATTTCCTCTTCCAATAAAATCATAATCTGACTCACGTAAGTTTGGCCAAAATGATCCATATTCATATCGATGTATAGAAAAATATAACACCCTACAAAATATATATATAAACAATATACACTTTCATCCAGTAAACTTTATATCTTTACTAAAGTATACACTTTCATCCAGTCAACTTTATACAGTTACTAAAGTATACTCTTTCATCCAGACAACTATATACATACATTTACTAAAGTTTACACTTTCATCCAGTCAACTATATACATACATATACTAAAGAATACTTTTTCATCCAGACATCTATATACATACATTTATTAAAGTATATGCTTTCATCCAGTCATTTACTAAAGTCTACACTTTCATCCAGACAACAGCATATATATGCCAAAAAATCTACACTTTTATCCTTTAAGGATCCCCACATAAAACTGTCCCCCCAAAAAAACCTACACAATCACACATTTACAATAGAACTAACATCAGGTCTTTCAGAAACGTACGTAAAATTAGGGATTGTCTTTTACTTTTGATCTGTCAACAATTGGCTTACTTTTGCCAGTTACAAGAGATGATGTACCTGTATATTCCCATATGGATCATCATATTAAATCTGTTTGAACTAGACTTACCTTGGATCATCATATTAAATCAATCTGAAGTAGACCTACCTTGTATCATCATATCAAATCTGTTTGAACTAGACTTACCTTGGATCATTATATTAAATCTGTCTGAAGTAAACCTACCTTGGATCATCATATTAAATCTGTTTAAACTAAACTTACCTTGGATCATCATAAAACATATACTGAGTTCCTTGTCCATGATGAACATCCAAATCAACTATCAATATTCTGTAAACAAACAGGCATTAAAATATAGTTATAAATATACTACATATTACAGAATATAGTTATAAATATACTACATATTACAGAATATAGTTATAAATATACTACATATTACAGAATATAGTTATATATATACTACATATTACAGAATATAGTTATATATATACTACATATTACAGAATATAGTTATAAATATACTACATATTACAGAATATAGTTATATATATACTACATATTACAGAATATACATATCAAGATGTATTGGAGAGTAATTATACAAAATTTTTGAAATTCCATCAATATATCAAATAGGTATATAAATTGCAACTGCAGTTAAATTTTCAAAATGTTCTCTCGACGGTACCGTCTCGTGGACTGTAAATGATTGATTGGTTAATTGGAATTCCAGTAAACCATCTTAATTAGGCTATATTAGACCACTTTGAAGTTGCTGTATTCAAGGGCTAAAATAGCAGGAAATGCGTTTGTGACCTTCAAATTTTTCAAAATCTTCTTCTTTCTACACGGTAAGCTCTGCTTTCAAAGAAGACCGTCGCCTGTAACCTGAAATTTTTTCGGGCATTTCGGGTTCTGGCCCCCCCTAACAGTCATCAATCCTGTATGCCTATGGGGTACTTTAAAATATTAGCTATGGCAATAACTCTGGAAGTAATTATTGGAAATTCTTTAAATCCAATAGGTGTTCGTGTCTGACCAAACGTAAAAGAACAAATGATTTACCTTGGAATTTTATATTCTTCTAAAGCAAATTTTGTAGCAATAGCAACATTATTAAACATACAGTATCCACAAAATTCATTCTCCATAGCATGATGTCCTGGTGGCCTGGAAAAACAACCATTTATCATCAACAGTTCTTACATGACTAATCATCAAGCATTTTTACATGATTCATTTATTATTCTTTGTAAAAGAGGGATCTATGGTGATAGTGTGGTTGGATAGTTATACAGTGTGCCCTGTGTCTAGTTGTTCGGAAGGTATGAAAACCCAAGGACTTGGGTAGAGCTTGGCATGCACCTAGAATCCCTGACAGTTAGAACTTGATAAAGAGTGGGTGGACACTCTGCTATCCAGGCAAAATTTCCCTCAAAGCATGAAAATGAAATGAAATGGGGTTTAACATACTACTGGGCTAATGAAGATGGGCATATGCCATTTAGAGTGGGGGATCATGGGGCTAAGTGGGTAAGACGCTGGCTCGCTAGCCTGGAGGTCGGGTGTTCGATCCCTGCATTGGCCGAGAAAGTTCATCCAGATTTTCCGGCTTGATTTCCCCTTGTCAGTGATGCAGGACGGAGGGCCTGCCAAGGACAGCTGTCTAGTCGTTTGGATGGGACGAAAAACTGAGGTTCCGTGCACATATTGGCGTGCACGTAAAAGATCCCTTGGCAGTTGGAATTCGATATAAGAGTAGGCTGTTGCACCGCTGCCCGGGTAAAATTTCCCTCATAGCACACTGTATGGCGTATGCCCGTCTTCATTAGCCCAGTTTAGGGGCAGAACAGTAGGACGTTAAACCCCATTTCATTTCCATTTAGAGTGCTATGAGGGAAATTTTGCCCGAACATCGTCGCTATGGCCTACTCTTATTTCGAATTCCAAATGTCAAGGGCTCTTTTATGTGCACGCCGATGTGTACACGAAACCTTGGTTTTCATACCATCCGAATGACTATACATTGTCCGTTGCCAGACCCTCCGTCCTACATCACTGACACGGGGGGACCACGCCATTCCCTCAAAGCACACTGTATGGTGTAAGCCTTCTTCATTATCCCAGTTGGTGCAGAAAAGTAGGATGTTAAACCTCATTTATTTTCAAACCCTATAGATGGTTGAGAAGATCTCACTTGTCAGAGGGGCTGCCATTCGGTTCAGACAAAACAAAGATCCTGGCTTATGTGTACAAATTGGTAGTACAAAAAAAAGATCCCTCAGTATTTGAAAGAGTAGACAAAAAAGCTGTTGGCAAAATTAACCATTTTTTTATTGTACACAATACCATTGTGCTGTATATTTTAACATGAAAGAGAGAGAAATGAGGGTTTAACATCCACTTAACACAAACTAGTTCATTTTGGGACTAACATATGGTTCAATTCTATTTCAATAATTATTTAGCAGTGATAGGGAACCATAAGACCCGGAGAAAACCCACAAGATTTGACTTGACAGGCAACCCTACTCCTTGTCATGTTCAAGCAGGCAATCGAAACCACGCCACTTGACTCAATGACAGACCTTGTGATTTCACATGCATGCGTTAAACCACTAGACCACCCAACCCCCCTTAATATCTGAAAAGGACAAAAAGTCAAGCATTGACCAACGAAATAATAAACCCTATTCTAAAGTAATGTTCTGGAATAGTTGGAATAAATTTAACATTAAACACATTAAACTCACCTAGAAATCACCATGCTATTCTTTATCTAAATTAAAACAAAAATAATTTAAATATATTGTAGACATTTTTTTACATAATGCTTGGAGATTGGATAAGGCAGTTTGAGTCAGGCAGTGACATAGGCCTGGGCCCTTATTCATGAAAACTTAAACTAAGATACAATCAAAATTTTAAGAAATACTGCAATTCGATTGGCTGACCAGTAAAATCAATTTGCATATATCCAATTTGCATATTGGTCAGCCAATCGAATTGCAGTATTTCTTAAAATTTCGATTGTATCTTAGTTTAAGTTTTCGTGAATAAGGGCCCAGGTGTCTTGCACTAATACCACCAGTTTCAGAGTTTTACTTCTCCCAGTTTCAGAGTTTTACTTCTCCCAGTTTCAGAGTTCTACTACTTCCAGTTTCAGAGTTCCACTACTTCCATTTTCAGGAAACTCCTAATAATGAAGCTTAAGAGGGCTCCACCTGTGCAATGTCGGGTAAACAGCTAATTCAAATAAAGGGATTTCTAGAGAGTACCAGCAAGACTTACTTTCTGTGTTATTATTTGTTCCACAGCTTCAATAGTACTTCCACATGCAGCTAATGTACATTCATAAGTTTCCTGAAAATTTACAAAATAATCATTGATATAAATAATAGTCATGTGTGAAGTGCATAATGCAGGGTATGCTAACATCAAATTTAACAGTTGTAGTTGTCAAATCTTATAAAAGAATACACTCTACAGTTGCCCAGTGAGTATTTGGAATAGGTAATTTTGTCGGGCAGCGACACTACAGCCTACTCATATATAGAATTCCAACTGCTAAGGGATCTTTTACGTGCACGCCAATATATACACGTGACCTCAGTATTTCGTCTCATTTGAATGACTAGACAGCTGTCCTTGTCAGGCCCTCCATCCTACATCACTGACAAGGGGGAACCACGCCGGAGCCCGACCTCCATGCTAGTGAACTTTCTCGGCCAATGCAGGGATCGAACACGCGACATCCAGACTAGCGAGCCAACGTCTTACCCACTTAGCCACCGTGGCTCCATGTAGCATTTGAAAGGAACATTAGATTACCTTATTGGCATAAAAAGAATCATATTTTTCTGATAATTCTTTCTGTTGTTGTATACTATAACTTGTTGTAGATAAAGCCTTGTCTAATAATTCTCGTGAATGTTGTAATAATATATGATCTTCTGTAGCATATCGCACCTAATAAAACAAGTAAAAATATCTTAGTATAATATTTACTTTTAATACATTAGTGAGAAAATAAGATATTTACAAAATACTTGTACTCCTATAATACATCATAACAAATGTCTTCATAAAATACTTACTGGTATATATTCTAATATATTATAACAACTGTCTAAATAAAATATTTACTGGTATTCTAATGTACAATAACTACTGTCTAAATAATTGTACTTGCTGGTATTCTAATTTATTATACTGTCTTAAATAAAGTACTTACTGGTATTCTAATTTAAAACAACAACTGTCTTAATAAAATATATTATAACAACTGTCTTAATAAAATACTTTCTCTAATATATTATAACTACTGCCTAAATAAAATACTTAATAAAATACTTACTCTAATATATAATAACTACTGTCTTAATAAAATACTTACTGGTATTCTAATATATTATAACTACTGTCTTAATAAAATATTTACTGGTATTCTAATTTATTATAACTACTTTCTTAATAAAATACTTAAACATGCATTATGCAAGAGCAAAATCTGCTTATTACAAGTCTTTCTTTAGGCCTGAAATGTTATCTAAATTATCAATTAGACATTAATTAACTTATCCAGACCATAATAAACTCTCGATGTCAAGGCTAGCCTTCGATGTTGGCTGGATTAGATTCCTATATGCCGCTTAACGGCCATTGATAATTAAATCAAAACAGTGGACAATTGAGACTATGCTGTTTATATTAATGATTTTAGTAATGATGACCGAGACTATGCGAAAATTTCACCCGCTTCATTCTCGGCTCATAGTGGATCAATCTGACTGAAATTTTCAGCAAATTACCTTTACACTATCTAGTTTTTAACTATTATAGCGAGAAATGCTGTCTCTTTATCTTATCTCCCATAATGTATCTTTAATAAAATACTTACTCTAATATATTATAACTACTGTCTTAATAAAATACTTACTGGTATTCTTATATTATATTATAACTACTGTCTTAATAAAATACTTACTCTAATATACTTACTGCCTAAATAAAATACTTATTGGTATATATTCTAATATATTATAACTTCTGTCTTAATAAAATACTTTCTGGTATACTAATGTATAATAACTACTGTCTTAAATGAAATACTTTCTGGTATATATTCTAATATATTATACAATTTGTCTACATCAGAAAACATGTTATGATGAAAAAACAAAAAACCCCAACTTACTGGTATTCTAATACATCTGTCAACTAGACCAAGTTGACAACACCTCTCATAACAGACCCGTGCTCTATCAGGACATTCCGGGTAACCCTCATCAAATTCACATTCATGTTTCAAAAATACTTCATCATAAATCAATCCAGTTCTGAAAAAAAAATGATTTGATTCCCATGTAATAGTCCTATGCTTTCTTTGAAAGGCAGGGGCCATTTAAATAGCTTCTATGGATGTTTCATTCTTTAGCCTATAAAACTTTTATTTTGTTGCCTAAAATGTGTTTTAACGAGACAAAAAAGTGTAAAACTAGTATTTTGTATAATTTCCATATAGTAACATTGAAGTTGTAGACTGATTAACTTAGAATATTGTATAGTTTCGAACCATTGGTAATAAAAATCAGCCATGGTAGAAAATTGTATAAGCTTTCTGTGGAACAATCAATTTCAGGTAAAAAAAAGTCCATCGTATTCATTTGACCTTAATTTGGCTGAAAAGTGGAAGTCAGTTGTTGTACTGGTAATTATGATTCGTTTTAAACATCATTTGAAGTTGTAATTAAACCCACTTGTTGTTCTGTTTGCGTCAAGCATTCTCGTCCAAAAGTCGGTTTTGCCAAAAGTCAAAAAAGTGACTTAGATCGTTCTTCCCCTGAATTCTTACATACTCACCCAGTAATTGTTGATGGTGCCTTTCCTTCCGATGAATCCTCCTGTTAGTTTAAATAAAATTACTGATTAAAGTTATTTGAGAAAGTTTTTAATTAATCTAATTCAGTAATTTCTCAATCTGATTAAAACACAGATCCTATTTCGTTTTGTTTTTTATAGTTCAAAATTTCGTTTTGGTTTTTATAGTTCAAAATTTTGTTTTACTTGTCTTTACTACACTAGGATCTGGAAGACTTGTTATATTACCGGCATTTTGGTTGAAGTGAGGGATTAGCCAATGAAACGGTCTGGCGTGCCATGCATGGAACTATGGGTAATCCACTAGAAACATCAACGCTGATTGATTAATCAATGTCTGACGTCATAGGGTCAATAGCAGCTCATACGACCCCTGACACAACCTCCCAGTACAACTTGTCAGAGCTTCATGCAATGTAGGCAATCAAAAGTATAAAAAAAAAACGAAACGAAATACAGATCTGTATTTTAATCCGATTGGTAATTTCCGGACCTTTATATTGGTCCTTCTTACTTGTACACATTTGCATACTTTTATCACCCAATACCCTGTGATATCTTCGACTACATTTTTAAGATTTAAAAAAAATGTACATACCAAAGTAGCAATGTTCATTAAAGCTGATAGTTCTTCATCACTGTCCATTTCAGTCACGTCTGCTTCTACATTAGCATCTGGTGTAGCCGAAGTTATATCCTGTAAAAATAGCCAATCGTAATACAGAATTCAATTATGATGAGAAATGAAGTTTGAAATCCTAATTGTCTGCACCATCCGAGCATGCAGAGTGCTATGAAGGGAAATGTTGTCTCTTCATTGAATTCCTACTGCCAAGGGTTCTTTCATGTGCACACCATATTTTTCGTCCTTGCCTATCTCTCCATCCATCACCACTGGTAAGAGGAAACCATGCTGATATATCCCAAAGAACTTTTCTCAGCCAACACTGGGATTGAATCGGTTTGGTCAAAGGTCACAAGATGTAAACAGGGCTAGCGCTAATCCCAGTCCTAACCCTAACCCTGGACCTAGCTCTAATGCTTACCCTAACCTACAATCTCACCAACAATCTTATTTACATCTCAGTGACCTTGAAAAAATCTTGAGTTGGCCTTAAAGATAGGTTTCCAGAAAAGTATTTATCGGGTGGTTATTTCCAATAAAAGTATGACAATTTTGGTATATATGGAAAGTAGAGATATCCAATCTTACTAGAAAAATACTGGATTCCCTGGAGCGTATACAGGACAAAAATGTCAAGGTTCCCCTAATCAACAGCCCGACGATTAGGAATATCTACATGCGTGACGTCATAGGTTGCACGCAGAGATTGAGCGCTTGATGTAGATGTTGATAAACTTTATGAAGAGTTAGACGTACAACACTTTCTGAGATAAAAATCACGGAAAAAGATGCGGGCAGTGAATAATCCGATAATCCGAGAATTTAATTAGGATTCGATATTTGTAATAAATATGCAATGAATTCTCCTCCGACTTCGCACCCATAAGTCACATGACACAAACATGACCTCTTTTGATCGATTTTTTATAGCAAGGGTATTCCTTGACAATTACAATGTTTTGAGAATGATTCGAAGCAAATTTATGATAAATTAATTAGTTTGAATATGTTTTTAGGCCAAATATATAATCAAATGTATCTTTAATAATTAGATCTAGTCGGATTGAACCAGCAAAATATCAGTCAAATTACCGTTGTTCACTTGATCAGCAATTGATGCTGATCGATGACAATGGAATGGGGTATAGTATAACATCTTGTCAACACAATAGTTATTTTGAGACTAACATATGGTATTTTTCCTTTCCATGGTTACTTATGCAATGTTAGAGGGAGAATTTGGACCCACTTGTCATTGCCTCAGTGCCGGATTAATCTTGTGGGGGGCCCGGGAGATACCAACTGTGCGGGGGCCCCATTGTTGTTTGTTCAAATTGTTCGTACTGACAGCGGATCGTACTAGTATGTACTCCGCCCCCTTGAGTGCCTGGGGTGTTTTCCTCCAGGAATTTTTTTTTTAAAATTAGGATTAATTTCAGTGCATCCGAGACAATTTAGGCAGCGATTTCCTGGGCCCCAGAAAATCTGTTGGTACCTACCAGTCCCGGGGGCCCCCAATATCCCTTACTGCCCAGGGCCCCAAGGCTCGCCCCCTCAGCCCAGGTACTGGTTGGCTCCATCCGGGATAAAATATTAGTATGACCCAGAATTGTGTGGGGTCCGGGAGATTTGTCCCACTTTGCCCCCCCCCTAAAACCGGTACTGCATTGCCTTAAACTATCCGGGGTTGTTTTAAGTGCACCCACAATTTGTACATGGGTGGACCAAAGTTTTCTGTCCCATTCAATTAAAGGACAAGGCACATTTTTCTTGTCAGCCACTGAGGCGCCACCCCTGACAGGGTAGAACTGGGGTTGAAAATCCCAAAGATTCCTTTTCGGTTCGGTCGACACCATGATTCGAACTTTGAATCAGAACTAGGATATGATGGTAAAGCGATAGAGAGAAATGGGGTTTAATGTCCACTTGACACAAACTAAGTCATTTCAAGACTAACATATTTCAATAATTCAATTGCACAAAGGGGTTTTTAGCAGTGGGGGGAAACCGGAGGACCAGGAGAAAACCCACAAGGTTGTCACGTACAAGCAGAGAATCACAACTATGCCATTTGACTCAATGACAGACTTTATGATTTCACATGCACATGTTAAACCACTAGGCCACCCAACACCGCCATATGACGTTAGAACTTCATGTAAATAAACCTACCTGTAGTTTTGTGTCTTCATCAGATTTTGGTTCATTTTTGTTATTCTGAGATGAATCATTTTCTTCCATATTTAAATGAAGCTCTTAAATTAATCTGGAAATATTAAAATCATTCTTCAGTTAAAGATATATTATGGGAGATTAGATAAAGAGTTGCCAGTTCTCACTATAAGAGTTAAAAACTAGATAATGTAAAGGGAATTTGTTGAAAATTTCAGTCAAATTGATCCACTCTGAACCGAGAATTTAGCGATTGAATTGTAGGCCTAGCCTTGAACATCATTACTAAAGTCGATACGATAAAAAACATAGTCTCGTTTATCCATTTCATGATTAATAAATTATTCATGAATGAAAGTTATGCAGCAAATCGGATTCTAATCCAGTAAATAGCGCAGGCTAGCGATGACATCAAGAGTTGATTATTGTCTGGATAAGTTAATTAATGTCTAATTAATAGTTTATATAACATTTCAGGCCTAAAGAAAGACCTGCAATAGACAGATTTAGCTCTTGCATAATGTATGTTTATGTCTACACATAAACCTCCACCAGAAGCCTCAGTCATCATCATCCTGCATGTTTGTACGCCAAAATCTATGTTACATTTGTTTCTATGGAAACCAGAAATGATCAGATCCACAAAATTTCTAATTAGCAAACAGCTATATACATGTATAATACATTGATGTGTTTACAAGCATAATAAATTTAATAGATATATTTTGAACAGTCAGCAAAAGCCACAACAGCTATATATATACTCTTCAAAAAAAGTAGGGGATATTGAAATGCAAATACATGTACCTATGCAGGTTGTGATGTGATAAATAGTCATGGACACTTGACATGCTTTGAGAGTATGTTCACAGATGAAGAACTTATCGCCCCAACAGAACCACTTAGCTTCACATGCGACACGCAATAGCGCCATACACGTGGAAGGGGTTCATTGTCAAATTTGACACTTCAAGGAAGGGTTAATGAAAACTGCCGTGTGCTGGTTTATCTATCCATGTTTGCTTTCCTATCGGTTCTTGCATAAGATTTACTGTTTAGCGTATCTTTGCTTTAGTGTGTTAAGTTTATTTGATCGGGAGACGTGTTCGTCGACGTCAACAGACAAAACTGCAAGAATTGACCATGGAACTGCAAGAGAAGTGGGTCAGATTTCCCCAAATCGTGATTGGACGGTTGATTAGGAGCATGCCACGATGAATTGCTGAATGTCTGAGGATTGGTGGAGCAATTACTCATTATTAAGACAAAAGTCAAAAATGTCCATTTTCACTTTTGACGGTGTATCTCTTTGCGAGTGAAATGGGGCCGTCAGATAAGCCGCCCATAAGAACTGTTTATGTTCAGGTGTAGGCAATCCGCCTGGTATTAACATACACTGGTTACCTCCAGTAAAAACAGCAGTGCATTTCAGCAGTTTTGTATTGTTTCTGAATATCCCCTACTTTTTTGGAAGAGTATATACATGTAATAGGCTGGTGTGTACATAAGTTTCATAAAAATGAACAGTTGTAAAGACATGCTCAAGGAAGGACAAGATGGAGGGAAGGAAGGAGCCAATCTTATCACCCCTCCCTTAACTCTGTTACAGTGACAGATCATAGCGAGGGCAACAGAGGTAAATGCCTAGGGCCCAGGTCCCGAAGGTTCCCGGCGATTTTGTGATAAAAAAAATTTTTTTTTTAATATTTTGTAGAAAAAAATAATAAAGATCCATTTCCCAAAGATCATGAAACAAAGTGGCCTTTTTTTCGATGAGTTTTGAAATTGTTAGGTAGGGGGACCTTCTGTACTATTCGGAAATAAATGTATGATCTGCAACATCTTCATTCAGATTACTAACCTAGATCGACGCTAACTGCTTAGAACTAAGTATATCACTTCCCGCCCGGGATATACTCCACAGACCAGCATTTCAGGCTGTAATTTCAAAAAAAATTCTCAGAGTATGACCCCCAGACCCCCTCAACCCAAAGGGGGGAAAGAACCCCCCCCCCCAACGGACCCCCATCCCTAGGGTGTCATCTTGTCACTGGGGCCCGGCGACCTGATGATCTGTCACTGTGTTTGGCACATAATAAAAAAAAAATAAATGTTTAATTTCCATCTAGACAAATAATAATAATTACTGTAGGCCTATATTCTTCCCAAAGAGAGAGAGAGATATGGGGTTTCACGTCCAACCAATAAAACTAGGTTATTTTGGGACTAACATATGGTTCAATTTTATTTCTTTATTTCCATAATTCGCTTGCGCCTAGGGGTCTTTAGCAATGGGAGGAAACCGGAGGACCTGGAGAAAACCCACGAGGTTGGACAGGCGACCCTACTCCTTGTCACGTACAACTGGGGAATTGAAACCACGCCAGTTGACTCAATGACAGACTTTATGATACAGCGCGCACATGCTAACCATTCAGTCATCCAACCCCCACTTCACAAAGAGCTCATGCTAAGTTTGACAGTCCTCAAAGAACTAAACGCTTTCTTCATGGCAGACAATATGAAATTTTCTATTCCTAATTCACCCTAAAACATACAATTGTCTGAATCTGTGAAGCTTCTCTTAGTTAAAAGACTCCCAAGAAAACCAGAAACTGTAGCGTATACGATGACTGTAATTCAAGGCTTCTCTTATGTCCATCAGTGAATAATCGAGATATTAAAAGATAACTTGCCCATTAAATAAAACATTTATGCACAAGCACATACTTTCCTGTGACCTGCATTGTACTCTAATCATGGGAAAGTTAGTCACATTGTTTAAGAAACTATATTGTTAACATGTAATTTTAATTCCTTTCAGGGGTGACATTCGTACATTGTGTACATTGTATTAAAGTAGGTTCTACAGTGTATCCTATACATAAACTTTTTTTTTTAAAGCGAGGTCAATTTATAATTATAATGGTGGCGTTTTACGGTGGGAGGGTATGTAGCTCTATTCATCCCACACAACCTGTTAAATATTAAAACATTCAGATTTTGTAGAAGGCCTACATGTTAAAGGATATGCATGTTTCCAGGTATGCCCAGGGTACTTTAAAGGTATTCCCAGGTGCCGTAACTGAACATTTTAACCGCAAAATTGGACCAAAATATCAACTTGAACATTAGTCAGATGTCAAGAATAAAATGCCAGTTAATAAGGAATTGTATTATGTTTACCTTAGCAACCGACAGCCATATCAGGCAAAGCTAATTATTGAACGCCATAAAACTAACATACTATTGTACTAAGGGATGGGCTAACAGGGATAGAGGGAGAGAGAGAAATGGGGTTTTAACATCCACTCAACACACACCAGGTCATTTTGGGACTAACATGGTTCAATTTTATTTTCAATAATTCACTTGCATGTAGGGATCTTTAGAAATGGGATGAAACTGAAAGTGGAGCACACGTGACCCTACTTCTTGTTACGTACCAGCGGGTGAATCGAAACCACACAACTTGATTCAATGACAGACCTTATGATCTAACATGCACACATTAAACCATTCGGCCATTCTAACACCCTGATCGTCAACAGATAGATACAATGTTAGAAGCATTATTAATATTAATGTATTGCCCAATGATCGTCAGCAGATTAATTGATACCATGTAGTGTTTTGGCATTGCGGTTTGAGACCCAAAGCCAATCGGCTTGTGACCTTTTAATATTTGGATCATGACATGAGTTAGGACTGGCAATGAATATGATTGAAAAATAAAACCATTTCTGATTTCAGTCACTTCAATTCTAAAAGACTTCACGAAAATCAGAAATCTTTGGAATGGAACAACAATACTGACATTTGTTTAATTTACATGCACTTGAAGGGATTAAAACCAAGATTACCTATAGGAATAAAACAAAAAGCTATTTTTATTCTGTGGTTTAATTACCTTTAAACGATCTACAATCCAAAACAAATCCTGACAACTTCTCTTTAATTTCATTAGTTGGTGCAACTTGCTTTACTTTCGTTTCATCAAAAATCCGGAAGTTACATTAAAGTTGCTCAGAGTTATCCTCTCGAACTTATTTGATTATCCAGTGTTTCGTGTCATCGAAATATAGAATTAACGTGCCCGGATAAAAAAAAAATAAATGGATTAAAAAAATCATATAAATTGTTAAATATATACTTCACATAATCCTATGCACCTATATAAGATAAATTAAAAATAAAAACGTGCTAACTTACGTTAGAATGCAATAAAATGTCAAATAATATATCCAAATATTAATTTCGTTTCGGGTCTTTCTTAGTTCACAGACGCCAGATATTCAACTGGACTGGACATCGTAGACTACCTGTATGTACATTTCGTTTACTGTTGTCGAGTTCGAACGACGATGGTTTCATTGCATCTTCTTAATTATGTCATATAGTTCACATGCCACGGTGTAGATCCCGTCGGCTATAGAATGTTTGTGATCGATAAAGAGAAAAAGGGAAAAGTAATTGCCTAACAGTTGGAGTTGTTATTTAACAGGTTTGTTGGTAAGTTTTAATTAAACAGAAGTCGACAGGTGCTCTATTATTTAATATAAAATTTAGCTAGTCTAGTGCATTATGCCTTTACATGTAATTATGAGTAGGGTATCTATTTAATTCACACCACTGCCGTCGGAACCACCATGACCACTGGGATGTGTGACAACATTAACCAGAAGTCTGAAGGATTGTACCCTGTAACCCTGGAGTCGTTAGATGTAATTAACGGAAATTGCTGAAATTCAATAGGCTTCTTTGTTTTACTAATTTAAATGATGCATATATATTTCATACAGATCGGTTGATAACTTTTGTCATTAGAGTGTTCACAAGGTGCAACAAAGTAAAACAAGGGCCATAACTCCAGAAGAAATTAACGGAAATTGCTGAAATTCAATAGGCTTCTTCATTTCACTAATTTAAATGATGCATATCAATTTCAAACAGATCAGATGATAACTGTTGTCATTAGAGCGTTCACAAGATTCAACAAAGTGAAACAAGGGCCATAACTCTAGATGTAATTAACGGAAATGACTGAAATTCAATAGGCTTCTTTGTTTTACTAATTTAAAAGATGCATATAAATTTCATACAGATCGGTTGATAACTTTTGTCGTTAGAGCATTCACAAGGTGCAACAAAGTGAAACAAGGGCCATAACTCCAGAAGAAATTAACGTAAATTGCTGAAATTCAAAAGGCTTCTTCATTTCACTAATTTAAATGATGCATATCAATTTCATACAGATCGGTTGATAACTTTTGTCATTAGAGCGTTCACAAGATTCAACAAAGTAAAACAAGGCCATAACTCTAGATGTAATTAACGGAAATTGCTGAAATTCAATAGGCTTCTTTGTTTTACTAATTTAAATGATGCATATAAATTTCATACAGATCGGTTGATAACTTTTGTCGTTAGAGCGTTCACAAGGTGCAACAAAGTGAAACAAGGGCCATAACTCCAGAAGAAATTAACAGAAGTTATTGAAATTAAATAGGCTTCTTCATCTCACTTATACAAACAACATATATCAATTTCAAAACAATTGGAAGGACCGACGGACGGGGGCGACGGCAATATACGACCACATTTCCATGTGGGCGTATAAAAATGAACAGTTGTAAAGACATGCTCAAGGAAGGACAAGATGGAGGGAAGGAAGGAGCCAATCTTATCATCCCTCCCTTAACTCTGTCCGGCAAGTGATGAATCATTGCGAGGGCAACAGAGGTAAATGCCTAGGGCCCAGGTCCCGAAGGTGCCCGGCGATTTTGTGATAAAAAAAAATTTTTTTTTTAATATTGTGTAGAAAAAAATAATAAAGATCCATTTCCCAAAGATCATGAAACAAAGTGGCCTTTTTTTCGATGAGTTTTGAAATTGTTAGGTAAGGGAACCTTCTGTACTATTCGGAATTAAATGTATGACCTGCAACATCTTAATTCAGATTACTTTATCTAGATCCACGCTAACTGCTTAGATCTAAGTATATGACTTCCCGCCTGGGATATACTCCACAGACCAGCATTTCAGGCTGTAATTTCAAAAGAAATTCTCAGAGTATGACCCCCAGATCCTCTCAACCTAAAGGGGGGAAAGAACACCCCCCCCCCCCAACGGACCCCCATCCCTAGGGTGTAATCTTGTCACTGGGGCACGGCGATCTGATGATCTGTCACTGTGTTTGGCACATAATAAAAAAAATATAAATGTTTAATTTCCATCTAGACAAATAATAATAATTACTGTAGGCCTATATTCTTCCCAAAGAGAGAGAGAGAGAGAGATATGGGGTTTCACGTCCACTCGACAAAACTAGGTTATTTCGGGACTAACATATGGTTTAATTTTATTTCCATAATTCGCTTGCGCCTAGGGGTCTTTAGCAATGGGAGGAAACCGGAGGACCTGGAGAAAACCCACGAGGTTGGACAGGCGACCCTACTCCTTGTCACGTACAACTGGGGAATTGAAACCACGCCAGTTGACTCAATGACAGACTTTATGATACAGCGCGCACATGCTAACCATTCAGTCATCCAACCCCCACTTCACAAAGAGCTCATGCTAAGTTTGACAGTCCTCAAAGAACTAAACGCTTTCTTAATGGCAGACAATATGAAATTTTCTATTCCTAATTCACCCTAAAACATACAATTGTCTGAATCTGTGAAGCTTCTCTTAGTTAAAAGACTCTCAAGAAAACCAGAAACTGTAGCGTATACGATGACTGTAATTCAAGGCTTCTCTTATGTCCATCAGTGAATAATCGAGATATTAAAAGATAACTTGCCCATTAAATAAAACATTTATGCACAAGCACATACTTTCCTGTGACCTGCATTGTACTCTAATCATGGGAAAGTTAGTCACATTGTTTAAGAAACTATATTGTTAACATGTAATTTTAATTCCTTTCAGGGGTGACATTCGTACATTGTGTATATTGTATTAAAGTAGGTTCTACAGTGTATCCTATACATAAACTTTTTTTTTTTAAAGCGAGGTCAATTTATAATTATAATAGTGGCGTTTTACGGTGGGAGGGTATGTAGCTCTATTCGTCCCACAAAACCTGTTAAATATTAAAACATTCAGATTTTGTAGAAGGCCTACATGTTAAAGGATATGCATGTTTCCAGGTATGCCCAGGGTACTTTAAAGGTATTCCCAGGTGCCGTAACTGAACATTTTAACCGCAAAATTGGACCAAAATATCAACTTGAACATTAGTCAGATGTCAAGAATAAAATGCCAGTTAATAAGGAATTGTATTATGTTTACCTTAGCAACCGACAGCCATATCAGGCAAAGCTAATTATTGAACGCCATAAAACTAACATACTATTGTACTAAGGGATGGGCTAACAGGGATAGAGGGAGAGAGAGAAATGGGGTTTTAACATCCACTCAACACACACCAGGTCATTTTGGGACTAACATGGTTCAATTTTATTTTCAATAATTCACTTGCATGTAGGGATCTTTAGAAATGGGATGAAACTGAAAGTGGAGCACACGTGACCCTACTTCTTGTTACGTACCAGCGGGTGAGTCGAAACCACACAACTTGATTCAATGACAGACCTTATGATCTAACATGCACACATTAAACCATTCGGCCATTCTAACACCCTGATCGTCAACAGATAGATACAATGTTAGAAGCATTATTAATATTAATGTATTGCCCAATGATCGTCAGCAGATTAATTGATACCATGTAGTGTTTTGGCATTGCGGTTTGAGACCCAAAGCCAATCGGCTTGTGACCTTTTAATATTTGGATCATGACATGAGTTAGGACTGGCAATGAATATGATTGAAAAATAAAACCATTTCTGATTTCAGTCACTTCAATTCTAAAAGACTTCACGAAAATCAGAAATCTTTGGAATGGAACAACAATACTGACATTTGTTTAATTTACATGCACTTGAAGGGATTAAAACCAAGATTACCTATAGGAATAAAACAAAAAGCTATTTTTATTCTGTGGTTTAATTACCTTTAAACGATCTACAATCCAAAACAAATCCTGACAACTTCTCTTTAATTTCATTAGTTGGTGCAACTTGCTTTACTTTCGTTTCATCAAAAATCCGGAAGTTACATTAAAGTTGCTCAGAGTTATCCTCTCGAACTTATTTGATTATCCAGTGTTTCGTGTCATCGAAATATAGAATTAACGTGCCCGGATAAAAAAAAAATAAATGGATTAAAAAAATCATATAAATTGTTAAATATATACTTCACATAATCCTATGCACCTATATAAGATAAATTAAAAATAAAAACGTGCTAACTTACGTTAGAATGCAATAAAATGTCAAATAATATATCCAAATATTAATTTCGTTTCGGGTCTTTCTTAGTTCACAGACGCCAGATATTCAACTGGACTGGACATCGTAGACTACCTGTATGTACATTTCGTTTACTGTTGTCGAGTTCGAACGACGATGGTTTCATTGCATCTTCTTAATTATGTCATATAGTTCACATGCCACGGTGTAGATCCCGTCGGCTATAGAATGTTTGTGATCGATAAAGAGAAAAAGGGAAAAGTAATTGCCTAACAGTTGGAGTTGTTATTTAACAGGTTTGTTGGTAAGTTTTAATTAAACAGAAGTCGACAGGTGCTCTATTATTTAATATAAAATTTAGCTAGTCTAGTGCATTATGCCTTTACATGTAATTATGAGTAGGGTATCTATTTAATTCACACCACTGCCGTCGGAACCACCATGACCACTGGGATGTGTGACAACATTAACCAGAAGTCTGAAGGATTGTACCCTGTAACCCTGGAGTCGCAGCAGCCTGTGATTATATTAGGTATCAAATTCTGGTCTGTAATATACCAGTTTAAACATGTTGTATACAATGTTCTGAAGTCAACTCGTGGTCATTAGCCAACAGAATTTGCCTTTGAATCAGCAGCAGCTCCCGCCCAACGAAAGATTTAGTTTATTAGCCAGGATTATCTTTCGTCAATCCTATGTAGATTTTTGAACCAGCCCATACACTTGGTAAATGGTAATCTTCTTAGTCTCAGTCTGCAAGACTAAGAAGACACAGTGGTCGATAAAAGTATAAGGTTCCACAAATTTGAGTAGGATCAACATAAAATTTTGGCACCCTCCTCTCAAGGATTCTGAATTAACTCCCAAGAGTTAAGACTTTTTCAAAAAAATAGCTTTAGGTTACATGTACATAATGCTTTGTTAATTCATGTACAACCGACCTCAATTTTTTGCCTCTTTCTCTCAGAGATTTTGAATTAACTGCTAAGAATTAGGACTTAATATGTGTAATTCTTTGTTTTTCAGACGTGAGCTACATTGTAAAACAGAATCAAGGATGTGGTACAGATAGTTACGTTGTTGTGATTCGATATATCAACTTCTAAATGCCATTAAGACGATTTTTTTCTTGTAGATATTGTATATCACACCTTCTAGTCAAAATGCAGCAGATCCAAGATGTCCGTGTACAAATCACCGTTAATTATTTTAGCTTTTTTCCTGATATTGTGTTAGTCGTGGCTTTAGGCCTAGGCCTTTACACAGAATGGACTTTTACTAAAAATATAACAATTTCTGTGATAGCTTTGTTAGGAATATTCGTATTTGCCATATCATTTGCCTTACGTTTTTATTTTGGAATGGTGAATTTTGGAAGATCCCTGTTCCATATATGGTTGGGGGGTATATTAGGGATAATCGCATTCTCCAATCAATCAAATTATGAAGAGAGTGTTCTACACGAAGTCATGGAGTTCCTCTTTATTATAAGTATGGGTCTTGGTTGGTTCTGGAATATTTTGGAACGATTTCTTCATATTGTTAAATACGAAGCAATATTATTGACAGTGCCGGAAGGACTGGAATCCGTTGGATTAATAGCTGCTAGTCTTGTAACCGGGATGGACGCAGTGTCTTTGTCTTTCCTGATTTTAGCCTACGTGTTGCATATTATCGCGCTTAGAATGAAATCAATGCTAGCCATTGTTAGTTTGCTTTGTCTTCTTTTAATCAGTGCCTTTGTTTATTTTCCCGATTTAAAACTCACTGTGAATAAATACGCGCTTGTGTGTTTTGTTGGACGACACTCATTTCAACCAATCATAGATTTCTATTTCTCAAGATTAACAACATTAGAAAGATGGCAGTCGTTTTTTCGCCAGAGGAAATCAGTGCGCCATTTGACAGTATTAGGTATATTTTTCTTACAGCTCTCGTTGGGAATTTTAATCGGAGTGAGATCAACGACTCATAAAGAGTGGTTCGTTGTTTTTCCGATTTACATGGTGTTTGCCGTTCTCTGGCTTCTGTGTCATCTTCTGTTCTTTATCACATGTTGGAAGCTAATGGGTAAAATCACCGAATGTAATTTAACATATCAAAGCTTATCAGACGAACTACAGAGTTATATTAGAATCATGGCCGCCAAAGGTGTGCGTCATTTTAGTTTGATATCACAGCGTTTGATTTGTTTGTCTGTTTTAACAACCGTTATTTTACTGGGTATTGGCTGGGAGACGAGAAACGGCTACAGTCTATCTCTAGTTTTTATGGTTTTACCCATCGAATGTATGACATTATCATTAGTATGGAGTCTGGGAGAATCTCTTGGAGGAACATGTACAGGATATGCCATTATAGCACCCATAAATAAACTCAGGTAAAACTTTAACTTACAATTTTACATGTACATGTAATAAATGCTTGCGTTAGGCTATATAATCCGGCCCCACGTTCCACTTGCGTTAGGCCAGATAATCCATAGTTTTAATCAGGCCTCATGATCCACTTGCATTAGGCCAAATAATCAGTGTAGTAGTTTAAATCAAGCCTCACATTCCACTTGCCTTTGGCCAGATAATCCATAGTTTCAATCAGGCCTTACAATCCACTTGCGTTAGGCTGGATAATCCAGAGTTAAAAGTAGAACTCTGGTTTCAGTTCAACGTATTTGACTGACTGGGAGAGTGATGAAGCTTGTGATATAGTTTCATTACGTCAATTAACGTCAATTTTCTGGTCTGGTTAACGATGGTCAACAACTTGATTGTTTGATGTTTTATAAAAAGTTAAATGTGCAAATAATTAAAATGTGTTATCTATTTTGGGGGAGGGGAATTATGGTAGAAATATCAAACTCGGTGTGGGCATTTTATTCAGATAATAATAATATACTCTAGACTTATGTGAGACAGTGACTTGTGGAGTAAGATGCTCGCTCGCAAACCTGAAAGTCTTGGGTTTGAACCTGATGTTAGCCAAGGGCAGTTTCTTTAGGATGCAGGACTGAGGACAGAATCCTGGCAAAGAACAGCGTCCAGTCATTTGGATGACACAATAATCCTGGGGTACTGCATACACATAGGCGTGTACGTAAAAGAACAATTGACAGTTGGAATTTGTGTTAAAAGAATGGATCACAATGCCGATGTCCCGGAAAAATGTCTCTCATAGCAGATTTCTTACACAGTGATTATAATTATTCCTTGGTTTTATTTTTACAGACCAGATGGTACAACAACAATAATCACTTCAGCTTCTATTCAAGATGGTAACGCTAAATCTACAGCTACACTATCTTACATGCAACAATTCTTCAATTTTAACATGATAGAAAATTACGGCTGCGATTATTCAACAAGTGGTCTGAGTCCTGATTATATACAGTCCAAAATCAAAACCTTTTTTGATCGAAGAACTTCAGATGGGCCTAGATTTGATACGTATATTTTGTATTATAGTGGTGAGGTTTATGAAACAGGTGAATGGGCATTAACTGGTAAGTACAGATTGTGTAATCTCTCTAATAGTCGGGGGTGATGGATGGTCGAATGATCAGGACGTGCGAGTTGTATCATAAGGTCTGTCATTGAGTCAACTGGCGTGGTTCCGATTCCCCATTCGCGTGTCCAACCTTGTGTGTTTTCTCTGGGTCCTCTGGTTTCCTCCCACTGCTAAAGACCCCTAGGCTGACCTTAAAAATATCTTTGTTTCGCCTAACGCGACCGACTAACTAAAACCACCCCCGACTTAAATTATTTTATTGCACTTTTCCGCGATCTTTTTATTTTATTTTGTGTGTCAACCTGAAATATATCATGAGAGTTATTTCCCTTTACTATGGCTATGGTTTGATTCATTATTGAAACTGGTTGATCAAGACGAAAGCGTCATAGGTGTCGCTTCTCAACAAAATGGTTGCAGACGAAAGCACGTCCATTCCCACGAAATGATTCTGCCTCTATGTCTGTGGGGCGTCGTTTTAAACATGAAGATATTTTCAACGTTAAAAACGTGTTGAAGGGGTTTCACACTTAGAGTTCGTGGCAAATCGTGTGCGAGTCTCGGAGTCGTGCATCACGAAAAATCCCGATGTCATACTCATTGATTTTTTTGACAATAAAAAAAGACGAATGTTTCCCCCCAGAAAATTATCAAGCTGTCAAATTAGCTCTTTAAAAAAAAATCTGAAAAAAAACCCGACCTACCGACCCTTCTCCTCGATTGTGGGTCGGGTTTGGCGAAACAAAGATATTTTTAAGGTCAGCCCTACATGTACTTGCAAGCGAATTATTGAAATAAAATTGAACCATGTGTTAGTCCCGAAATGACCTAGTTTGTGTAGAATGGGCGTTAAACTCCATTTCTCTATCTCTCTCTCTAATAGTAAGTGTAGGAGGACCGCACTACACACAAATAGAACCTATAAGACAAACCTGTGGACCAGACTCACAAACTACATGTACACAGTTATTGCAAGCAATGAACAACAAACAAACGTACAGTATACATGTATTTCAAATCAAGCGAGTGGACCCGAGGGCTGGCCATAAGTGTCCACTGCGCTGGGAGTCCTGGGAGAGAGAGAAAGAGGGTTTAACGTCCACTCGACACAAACTAGGTCATTTCGAGACGAACATATGATTCAATTTTATTTCAATAATTTGCTTGCACATACATGTAGGGGTCTTTAGGAAACCGGAGGACCCGGATAAAACTCACGAGGTTGGATGTACAGTCCTGGGACTGTAATAATGCTGGCTTCACACAAAATGGAAAAAAAACCTCACCAGATAACTCAGAAAAAACTAGAATAGAAGCAATAGAAACAATGCGACACGTGTCCCACTCAGTTTAGTAAATAAAATTAGTTAATTTGGTTTGAGAGAATCTTCTAAGGCTTTGTCATAGTCAAGCTCTGTGATACTTTTTTGAAAAAGTAAAAACTCTCAATTTCCATGCAAGGTTGGCCATATGTCCAGAAATTCAGTCGTGATTATCAAGTCAATCATACATGTACAATGGGCTCAGAGTTCAGATAGGAAATGAAAATGAAATGAAATGGAGTTTAACGTCCTACTGTTCTGCTCCTAACCTGGGCTAATGAAGACGGGCATACGCCATACAGTGTGCTATGAGGGAAATTTTGCCCGGACAGCGGCACTACGGCCTACTCTTATATCGAATTCCAACTGCCAAGGGATCTTTTACGTGCACGCCAATGTGTACATGGGACCTCGGTTTTTCGTCCCATCCGAATGACTAGACAGCTTTCCTTGTCAGCCCCTCCGTCCTGCATCACTGACAAGGGAGAACCATGCCGGAAAATCTGGATGAACTTTCTCGGCCAATGCAGGGATCCAACACCCGACCTCCAGGCTAGCGAGCTAGCGTCTTACCCACTTAGCCACGTGATCCCCAGGTTAGATAGGGTTATTGGGCAATATTATATCATTTTGTAGTTGACATACATGTGAACCAATCTACTTTTATTTATTATGTTCTTTATATGTATAAGACTGTCCATTTACATGTAAAGCCTCAGTATTTCTGATGTGGTTTACCCATGTCAGTGGTGCAGGACAGAGGGCCTGACAAGGATGCCTGTCTAGCCAATGTCCCATGTACACACTAGCGTGCACATAAAAGATCCCTTGGCAGTTGGAATTCGATATAAGAGTAGGCAGTAGCGACACTGTCCGGATAAAATATTTCCCTCATAGCACACTGTATGACGTTTTGCCCGTTTTCATTAGCCCAGTCGGAGCAAAACAGTAGGATGTTAAACCCCATTTAATTTCGTATCATTTTCAATGAGCAGGAAAGGCCTATAGACCTCCTTACTATTAAATTTGACGGTTTGTTTTATTTTACAGGAAATGATACATTAAAACTGGATACAATACTAGAATGGTGGACTAATAAAAATGCTGGATCTGGATCACGTCTTCTTCTAGTCCTGGACACACCCTACTCCTATATATGGACCAAGACCATTCGCTACATTAGTCACGAGTTTGTAGCTATCCAGACATGTCGTTACTCAAAACCCTCCGATCCTGAATCAGGAACCCAAACCATCGGAACATTCACCAAAGATTGGGTTTGTTACAATTTAGGAGAGGAGCTTGAGCAAGAATGGAGTAAAAAAGATCGCAATGTCCGTGCTTTGTACTCCGTTTCCAAATGTTGGACAGATTTTACGTTTCATCTGCCAACTACATCAGACTTTGAACAGCACTGGGACAGCAATTTTCCTAGAATAACAAAACCATTGATAAAAGCTGTGAATTTTCCAAGTGCCGGCTCCGTATGTTGTTGCTGTGATTGTATATTTCGATGTTTAAAACGAAAACAAATGAAATGGCTTCCACCTAAACACGTGGATACCGGTCATGGCTTTAAACTCGTCCATTCATAATTCCATAAATTCTGTTTTTAGCCCATCAAGCCATCTATCCAAAGGGCTTATGTTGTCACTTCGGTCCGGCCAGCGCAAATAATTAGTCAATTTCGACTTTTCCCCTTGACTGCTTGATGGATTTTAACAAAATTTGGTAGGTATGATGCCAGGCCTGGAATTAATGATATTAGGTGTACTTGAGAAAATGTCAGGCCCTATTAAAGATGCATTATGTAAGATTCAGATATAGAACTGGCTGTTCTGATTTTAATAGTTCAAAAAAAGAAAATGCAAAATTTGGTATGTTGACAGGATGTTATTTATTAAGAATTGTTAAATGAAGTTGCTTCCTCCCATATGTTTTGGGTAGGGTTGCGTTAAGGGGAAATTTAGGTAATCTTAAGAAATCTTCAGAATGGCTGAATGGATTTCTATGAGTATGAAGATAAGAGGTTGTTCAAATGAAAGTGGTGTACCGAGTGGATATAGAGTTGGACAGGAAAGTCCTACCTATTCTCACTTAAGCCAAATTGTCATTGCAAACATATTCTTAATCACTGAGTGATCGTTATTTTTTTTATTTTCATGTTTCTAGGAAAACTTCTGTCAGATGGCCCTTTTTCTAGTTGGTGTATTCCAATACACGCTTTCCATTTTTTAAATTTTTTTTATACCTTGAGTTTTTTGTTTTATTTTATTTAATCTCATTGTTAAACATTTTCTTGTATATTCTCAAAGATTCCTAAAAAAATCTTGGATTGTATTTTAAATACTTATTTATTGAAATGAAACTTATATTTAGGATTTTTTGTTGTATGTTACGCAGTATTTTTATTTTAAGATTTCATTATTTATTGATGTATATATAATATAACTTTTAGTAGATTGTACAACGAGCCTCTTGAACAAAGTTAGTGTGAAAATATCTATTCTAGACGGACCTTGTTGAGAAAGGGGAGGGGGAGAGAAAGGGAAGCAATTGCACAACGAGCCTCTTGAACAAAGTTAGTGTATGAAAATATCTGTTCTAAATGGACCTTGTTAAGGAAGGGTGGGGGTGGGGAGAAAGGGGAGACTTTGCACAACGAGCCTCATGAACAAAGTAAGCATGAAAATATCTTCATGACAGACCTTGTCGTAAAAAGGGATCAATCACTCCCATATTCCTGAACTCACCTGTAATAAAAAAAAAACCCAAAACAGGCAAGTAAGTTATCACTCGCTATCACAGTTTGTCACCCACCTTGAAACTTTACTGTATTCAGCAAGTGGCAATATGTGGAAATACATGTACTTAACAGACCTGGCTTTGATGAAAAAAATAACAATGAGAACAGAATGCTCAAAGTCAAGGGTCTTTAGGCTGAATGTACTGCATTTGGGCCACAGAGGTTTGTGCGATAGCTCAGTGGTAGAGTATTCGACTGGCAACAGCAAGACGAATGGGTGCCGTCATGGGTTCATTTCCCATTGGGTGCAAGGTAACGTTAGATTCAGTAGGAACCCTACCCTCCCGTTAATCCTGTGGCCAAAATGTCAGTACGTCTACCTAGGCTATATAATATATATATTTTTTGATGAACAATATTCATACAATATGAACCTTTCATGGAATAATGTTGCCAAAAATAAAATGTAAATAATATATTTCAGTTTATAATTTAAAGGCCTGTGTACTTAAGTTTATATTGTTCAGCTATTAGTAATATTCAACAATAGGATCAGCAATTGTAGTATTTATTTTTATATATTTATCTGGCTTTGTCATTTCTCATTTATTTGAAGATCATCAATCTGACTAAAATACAGATCTATATTTCGTTACGTTTTTTTTATACTTTCGATGGCCTACACTACATGAAGATCTGACCGGTTGTAGCGATAGGTTGCGTCAGAGGTCATACGAGCGGCTTTTGACCCTATGATGTCAGACATTTGATTAACCAATCAGCATTGATGTTACTAGTGGATTACACACAGTTCTGTGCCTAACATGCCTAAAACTCGCCGTAACAGACCGTTTCATTAGCTAATAGCTCACATCATTCAGAACACATCAATGATAACAAATCTTCCAGATCCTAGTGCAGTAAAGACAAGTAAAACAGAATTTTGAACTATAAAAACTAAACGAAATAGGATCTGTGTTTTAATCAGATTGGTTTGAAATCAAATTTTGATGGGAAAAGAGATACAAATAATCTATTTTAATACTGATCACATAGTGACAATACCTGGGTTTTATTTTTCAAGGCATTGCAAAAGTTTTAATGATAATTTAAAAACAAATATATCTATCTTTTTCCTGAGGGGCAATGCTTTTATGCTTTTTAAAAAGACAAGAGGATTCAGACCAATATGACACTTTTAGAGGAAAATATCTGCATGTCATATGTGGTCTGAATCCTGTTATTTTTTTTATGAAGACATTACCACTTCCATGATCAGTGTCAAAGTTTTTGTATCATGCTTCGCAAATAATATCATTTAAATTGGTAAACTATCGTAGCTAACAGACATATGACTTGATTTTATTTATTAAATTTCTATATTTTAATATACAAGTATTAATATATATGTGACCTGTGATAGCAAAATGAGTCTGAAGTCATTGTTTAACGATATGAATAAAAATGTTTCACTTGGCCTAAAAAAATTTTTTTTTTTTTTAGTTTGCTTTATTTCTTAAATTTAAATTTTTACCTTTCATGTTATATAATTAAAATTCATATTTTTTTTTTTAGTCTATTTTGACATTTTTGTTCATATCGTCCAACATATCCGAATCATTTTGCTTTCACGGGTCAATTATGTATAAGGGTAAATTATGTATAAGGCCCCCACCCCCTTCCCCATGTAGCCTACACATTGGCATGCAAAATTTTCCTTGCTCTACTTGCACATGTATTCATTGAATAGATGGGACGAAAAACTGAGGTCCTATGTGTACACATTGGCGTGCAAGTAAAAGATCCCTTGGCAGTTGGAATTTGATATTGGAGTAGGCAATAACGTCGCTGTATGAGCAACATTTCCCTCAGAGCACACTGTATGGTGTAAGCCTGTCTTCATTAGCCCAGTCAGTGCAGAGTACTAGGACGTTAAACCCTTTCCATTTCATCCATTTAATAAAAATTACCATGTGTTAGTCTCTGACTGTGTTGACCAGACGATAAACCCCATTCCATTATTTTATCATGCTTATAACTAAACCTTCGTATTTAATAATTTTATATTTTTTTGCCGTTGTTGTTAACTGTTTTAAATATGATATTTAAAGATAAATTATGCAAGAGTAAATCTACCTACATGTATATCAGGTCTGTTTTTTGGCTTTATATGTTATAGGGGGGTTGGATGGCCGAATGGTTAGCATGTGCGTGCTGTATAACAAGGCCTGTCATTGAGTTAACTGGCGTGGTTTCAATTCCCAGGTTGTACGTGACAAGGAGTAGGGTCGCCTGTCCAACCTCATGGGTTTTCTCCGGGTCCTCCAGTTTCCTCCCACTGCGCAAGCGAATTTTTGAAATAAAATTAAACCATATGTTAGTCCCGAAATGACCTAGTTTGTGTCGAGTAGACGTTAAACCCTATTTCTCTCTCTCTGTCTATATGTTATATACAATGTCCACCATATCTTTGTTAACCGGAGACTGGGGATTGAAGAAAGAAAATTCATGACTTCCTCTTATTATCGTAGCAATGGTACTTTACAATCAAGACTATTTAGGATATTTCTTGTCAAAACTTCAAACATTCATAACTTCACTTAGAATAAAGTAATGTGGTGGGCGTGGCAATGATACTTGACAAAACAATTTATGCTATTTCTTGTCAAAACTTCAAACATTCATAAAATTTTCAATGAATTCATTTTTAACTATTTTTAAACTATTATAGTAAGAATGGCCGGCTCTTACGCTAGGGGGGTTGGGATAGCCTAGTGGTCTAGAGTGCCCGCTTTGACCTCTATCTGGCTGGCCGGTCACCTCTGCCTTGCGGTTGTGGTTTCGATCGCAGGTGTGAGCGTATGTGGCTTGGAGATAGGGGTGCTTTCTCAACCTCGTGGGTTTAATCCGGGTACTCCGGTTTCCTCCCACAGGAAAGACCCCTGTGCGTGCGCTAAGTTAATAAAAAAAAAAAATAAGACTTGTCTGCGATATCACCTTGGTGGAAGCGGATGTTAAAACACTAAGAACAACAACAACATCTTACTCTAAATCTTACATAATGTATCTTTTAATGAAAATACTGATATTGGAAATTTCGTTAAATTACTTTATTCTGAGCAGTGTTTGAATTTTTGACAAGATGTAGTCTATGATGTTTATTATTGTAGTAAAGGTACTGATAGTGATGATGGGCTTGTCATGTGAATAAATGTTTATTATTGTAGTAACTATGGTGATGATGGGGTTGTCATGTGAATAAATGTTTGACTAATAATTTGTATAATATTTAAAGCCAAAATTCAAACCTGCAATATCTCTTACATAATGCATCTTTACAAGTTAATTTATCTAGTCGGTCTGTTGTGCACATTTATTGTTAGCTCAATAGAGGCTACTATAATCAATTATATTGGTTTTCTGTCCATTCTATGGAGAAGGGGGGGGGTGGTGGATGGCCGAATAAGCATGTGTGCGCTGTATCATAAGGCGGGGTTTCGAATCCCTGGTTGTACGTGACAAGGAGTAGGATCGTCTGTCCAACCTCGTGGGGTTTCTCCGGGTCCTCCGGTTTCCTCCCACTGCTAAAGACCCCTAAGCACAAGCAAATTATTGAAATAAACTAGAACCATGTGTTAGTCCCAAAATGACCTAGTTTGTGTCGTGTGGACGTCAAACCTCATTTCTCTCTCATTTTTGTACATGCATGTTTAAATTTAAAATAATATTATTAATACCTAACACGTATTATCTGAAGATGCCAAATGTTGATATGTGTTTTATCCGACAATAAAGTCTGAGATTGTGCCATACTCTTATAAAGCTCTGATGAACAAATTCGAACTTTCAGAAAATGGCGATGCAAAGCCTAAAGAAGAGTGTTTCTGTAACGGAAATTGAGAACAAATATTTTCATATTTCTATTGATACTCATGTTTGCTCTTGAGAAGAAGTTATTATCAATTTTTTTTTATCTTGGGAGAAATTATGTACATGTATGCTTATTTTATAATTTATCAATAAAATATTTTTATTCTAAGTATTTGGTGTTTTGATTTTTGTGCATTATAGTACATGGTTATGGGTCTTTGCATTTTATGTCATGTTGAAGTTGGATTGGAGATGACCAACTTTCGTCCGCTGATGGCTAAAAGCATGATCACTAGATTCATCACTGCTAGAGGTTTTTGGGTTGTTGGTATGCATAAATGATTAACAAGCAACCTGAAATGAAATGAAATGAAATGGGGCTTAACATCCTACTGTTCTGCTCCTATTGGGCTAATGAAGACGAGCATATTCCATGCAGTGTGGTATGAGGGAAATTTTGCTAGGACAATGGCGCTATGGCTTATTCTTATTTCGAATACCAACTGTCAAGGGTTCTTTTATAAGCACGCCAATGTGTACACGGGACCTCAGTTTTTGTCCCATTCGAAAGACTATACTTTGTCCTTTGTCAGGCCCTCAGTCCTACACCACTAACAAGGGGTCACCACGCCAGAAAATCCTGATGGACTTTCTCAGCCAATGCAGGGATCCAACATGGGACCTCCAGGTTATCGAGCTAACATCCTACCCACTGAGCCACCGTGGCTCCCAACAAGCAACCTTACAACAATAATGCTGATTATAAATGTCTGCAATATTAAATCCTTTCTTCTTAGATTCCACACTTGTACGTGGCAAGGAGCAGGGTCTCCTGTCTAACCTCGTAAATCTTCTCCGGGTCCACACGTTAGACCATTCTCTCAGTTTTGCACATTATTCGTAATTTTCAGGCTGGTGGTCAACAGGTAAGAAATGTTAATGGTTATGCCAATGAAAGAAATGAAATGGAGTTTAACGTCTTACTGTTCTGCTCCGAACTGGGCTAATGAAGACGGGCATACGCCATACCTATGCTATGAGGACATTTTGCCTGTACAGCCAATGCAAGAATCCAGAACCGAGTTGGGTATATGATTTTAACCATTAGGATGTGGACTCCTTCCAGCCCCCAAACTCCCGTCCCCTGGACCGGAAGAAATGAGTTTAATGTAGAATTTTGATTCAGATGGTAAATGAGAGTTGGTTACCGCAATCTGTAAATCGGATTGTTATCTTGCTAGGAAATCAATGGTGGTCTGTAACCATCATGAATAAAGAGTTGTCTCCCCTACATTCTTTTGGTTATTTCTTTAATGAATACCACTAATAATAGCCGGATTCACTAAGTAACTGTCTTTTAAATTTGATTTGCGTTGAGATAAGAACGAAATGATAAAGATTTTTTCATGTCCAGCCATATCTATCGTTTTATTTACCTTAAAGGCTCAATACCATTCTTGTTTTCACTGAATAATATGTACCAATCTTTATTCTGGTCAACAAATTGTACTATTTTACAATATTCCAATTAATTGATGATACAAATTTCAACTTAACACACCTAATTTAAAAAATTGGAAAAATTCAACTAAATGATTTCAAAAGCCTGGCGTAAAGCTTTTCAAATGTGACTTAGATTTAAAAATATTTTTGAACCCTTTGGACAAGTAAAATAGGATTTAATGGATAATTTACACAACAGGTAGGACACTAACGCATCTAGTACTTAGAATAAGGCTATTTTTTTATTTTCTGGAGCTGTCAAGCCAGCAAGAGTGTTATTTTCCCTTTAATAGCAGTGTATATGAACTTGTCGATCTCTTCTAACCTGCTGAGACTAACACCCGGATAAGGTAGACTACCTCTTCCTTTGAGCCTTCACATTAGATATATCTCAACCTTTAGCCAACTCTTTGTCGAACTCCATTCGCCAAGAGTAATTTTACCTGTAAGCCTACAATTGACCTTGGTTCTCGTACCAACCGAACGACTAGACGCTGTTCCTTGCCTGGCCCCGTCCAACTCCTACTGACAAGTTGAAACCATACTGGAAAATCCCGAGAAACTTTCTCGGTCGACACCGGGACTTCCTCATAAGGGTTAGATCTAAATATTAAAGCCCCCTGCAGATTTTGTCAAGGTCGCGAGATGTAAACGGGGGTAACCCTAGCCCTAACCCTAATTACCCTATCCCACAGTCCTCTGCAACAATCACGTGCCTTAGCCCTGTTTACTTACATCGTGTGAGCCGGCGATGTCGCCACCGTGGATCCAAATAACATAAAAAAAACCCAAGTAGGCGATGTCAAATATCACCCAATTCTAAATAGTTATATAAAGCCAAATGAAATGAAATTGGGTTTAACGTCCTACTGTTCTCCTCCAGTTAGACTAATAAATATGGGCATTCGCCACACACGAGGGAAATTTTGACCGGACCGCCGCATTACGTTTTACTCTTATATCGAATTCCAGTAGTAGTATCTTAGTGCTTTAACGTCTGCTTCCACAGAAGTGATATCGAATTCCAACTGCCAAGGGATCTTTTACGTGCACGCCAATGTTTACACGGGACCTCATTTTTTCGTCCCATCCAAACGACTATACGTTGTTCCTTGCCCTCTGTCCTGCACCACTGACAAGGGGAAACCGCGCCCGAAAATCCCGATGAACTTTATCGGCCAACGCAGGGATCGAAGTCGGACCCCCAGCTTAACCAGCCAACATCCAACACACTGGGCCACAATGGCTCCTATAAAGCCAAATGAAATAAACTGGGGTTTAACGTCCTCCATTTCTCTACCAGTCGGGCTAAAGAAACTTACAGGACGCGTTAGTCTCATGTGCGGGTTTACTCAAATTTCCCCCGTAGACTGCCCGTAATAGCAGGTACGGCGAGCAGTGTGCTTGGCTTTACTTCAGCTGTATACGGTCCTGTAGGAGATGTTACCCCCACCCGCCATTTCCCCCGTAGACTGCCCGTAAAAGCACGTACGGCGAGCTGTGAGCATGGCTTTACTTCCGCTGTATACGGTCCCATAGGAGATGTTACCCCCCCCCCCCTCTCGCCATTAATTGAACTTCTCACCTCCGATAATTATAAAGGAGATAAATCTGACGAACCGTCCCATCCGAATGCCTAGATGGGTGTTTAACGGAGGACGGGTTCCCCAATCCTATTCAGACAACCTGAATAAAATATTGGTTTAAAAAAAAAACGGAGAAAACCTACGTACCCCTTGCCACGTACACGCTGGGGCTCGAAAAAAAACCAACCACTTGGCTATATGACAGACCTTATGATCTTAAGCGCACAAGATGGACTATTCGCAATTCCTCCACCCTGATTTTTAAAAGACAGGGAGAGAGAGAGAGAGAGAGAGAGAGAGAGAGAGAGAGAGAGAAATTGGGTTTAACGTCCACTCGACACAAACTAGGTCATTTCGGGACTAACATATGGTTCAATTTTATTCCCATAATTCGCCTGCGCGTAGGGGTCTTTAGCAGTGGGATGAAACCGGAGGACCCAGAGAAAACCCACGAGGTTGGACAGGCGACCCTACTCCTTGTCACGTACAACCGGGGAATCGAAACCACTTTAAAGGAAAGAAACATAATGAATGTGTTTATATGGTTTTTATTCATACATCGATGGTTCAAGTCCACAAAGCATACACAGTGTAGGCCTATTTACAGGTTGTTGTTTTTTTTTACAAAATATAAAAGCATTACTTAAATTTGCTAAAATTACACGAAAATTACATATAGTAAGGCACAAATTGTAGCTAAAAGGTATCAAAAATACACCTTACTTTTTTTTCATCAGAAAATGCCACTTATAAATGCGTTCAATGGTTTCCTTGAACCCAAATTTTAAACATTAAAAACGAAATAGGTTCTTTGTTTTAATGAAATTTTATAACCCCCCGAAGCGTCATTTGTATCAGCCAGGGTTGGTTTAAAAGGTGACGTAGTGCGGCAAGAACTATATAAATATATTATATGGCTATTGTATTCTTAGCACACCTTTTATCAAATTGACACCTCTATTTTGTACATGAAACAGAGACGTTATTCCTCCCGTTCTTCATTTCTTCAGCAGTGTTCACCACCATAAATATATATAATAATAATATTAGGCTAAAATATCATGCAAAAATTTCTTTCGTACAAAAACTCTTAAACAAATTAATTCATTCAACAAACAAGTAGCCCACGCGCATACTATCTGAACCAGGAATCGGGCATGACGTCATCGGAGCCATCTTGGAATTGAAGCACCTTATCAAACGAGGAACAAGCCAGTCAAGTTTGATATCGATCATATACTCGAATTGGGTGTTTTTTTAATAGCGCCGCCCCAAGAAGAAGAATATTGCCAAGTATATATGCAACAAGTTCCTGGTTAAAAACATAACACGCATAACCATCAACAAAAGAAATTCATTTGGAACCCATCTTCTACGCTTGTCCATCATTAAACAAGGGGGGTCGGATGGCCGAATGGATATCACGCGCGCGCTGTATCATAAGGCCTGTCACTGAGTCATCTGGCGTAGTTTCGAATCCCCGGTGCTACGTGACAAGGAATAGGGTTGTCTGTCCAACCTCGTGGGTTTTCTCCGGGTCCTCCGGTTTCCTCCCACTGCTAAAGACACCTACGCGCAAGCGAATTATTGAAATAAAATTAAACCATATGTTAGTCCCGAAATGACCTAGTTTGTGTCGAGTGGACGTTAAAACTCCATTTCTCTCTCCATCATTAAACAAATGAGTTGTTAGTGTCTATCGTTGCTTAGCAACCTATATTCCAGACTGAAAGTAACTACCGACTTTTTAACTATTTAGAACAAAACGCAGTATAAATATATACTGTCCACAGATTGTTATTTAAATGGTTCAATGATAAGGTAAGTTAGAACCATCAAATGTTTACTTGAGTCATGACGCCTTCTTTGTGTGTTGTTACCACCGTGTAGTCTTGGTCTCTTCTCGTGAAATGGCATGATTCGCCAGACGGCTATCTATAGTAAGACGAGATCGTTATATCCGATAACGGAAAAGGGCCCAGTGTCCTCAAATGCATATTGAGACCTTACATAGAAAGAGAACTTGGGCTTAACGTCCACTAACACTATAGCTGATTGACTCAATGCCCGACCTTATGCTATAAAGAGCAGGCGTTAGACCACTCGACACAACACCAGGTCATTAACTCAATGACCGACCTTATGATCTAAAGCGCAGGCATAGACAACTCGACACCATCAATTTTTCCGTACATTTAAACTGTAGCTCATTTACACCAAAAGCATTGTTATATATAATCACACATTACCTACACATATATTATATATAGGCCTAGGGCCTATACCCCACTCGAGGCCTTTTTTACACCGTCATTATCAAAATAATCTACATCTACATTAATAGAGTTTATAAAAATATAAAACAAGCATAATAAATTAGATGTCCACACTAGTTAATGAAACTACAGGATGATTTGATTGACCTAACATCCACAATCTGATTTTAATCATATTTCAATTTCGTTCCGTTTCATTTTGATGTTGTACGATATTTAAATCTGACATACTTTTTTTGAAGTCGGTGTACCACTCGGGTAAAACCTTATCAGATTCCAGTAGCCTACATCTGCCGAGGTTTGCCGAGTGGTCGGTGTACATATCACGTGAACTTATATTCCTCCCTGCCCCCGGGGTATGCTTGACTTGATATCACTATGGATCAAAGGGTCCCCAATCTTTAGAGACCCAGGACCACAACCTCAAAAGGACAGAACAAACAGCAACGCACGGCGTTGCTGCACGGATGGGCCTGGAGGGTCGCGGCTTGGAGACAGTAGGTTGGATGAAAATGTTAACATCATAAAATCAAACTGAAACGAAATTGTAATCTAATTTCCATTAGATTGATGTAACGCTTTACACTTCACACTACTATGTAGCATAATTCCTGGCCAATGAAGCTTGATGCACATTAAGTGTCCGCTGTCGACAGTCCACACTGCAGTATAAATTGCCCTCTCTTAACAGGAAGTGGTTGTTTATTAAGCTCGTACCACACACGTGACAGCTGAAACAGTGTGGGCATGCGTGCCAGTGAAGATCACCGTGAGTCATACCGGGAGAATCGGCTGTAATTGGTCTTTGACAAGTGCTGCAAATCTGTAATGAAAGGAAGATATAAATTTGAAGTTTAAGGTGTCCGCTCAGGGACATGTCCGGGAATTCGAACAGGGGGTGGGGGCGGGTCCAAGTTTGTCATTAGGTGGGGGGAAACTACCCGCTTGCGCCAGCGCGGGGTGGGGGTTGTCTCCCCCCCCCCCCCGGACACGCTCCTGCCGCTCAACATTTTGGGAATAACATAATGTATAATTTTATTTCAGTAATTATTATCGCTTAATTGCGGCATACGCCTCTGCAATGGGGGTAAACAAGATTAAAATTTAGGCAGGATGTCCCAATCCTTGTTGGGTATAAGCGTGGGTTGAATAACACGACACTTGCATCGATAACATACCTTATGATCTACAGCGCACGCGTTAGACTAATAGGCAACGAAGCCCACCTTGCTGTTAATCACTAATTTAAAGTATGACTGTAAGAAATGAAATGAAATGGGGTTTAACGACCTACTTTTTCTGCACCAACCGGGATATTTTACGTGCACCCAAAAATATACACGAAACCTATGTTTTTCGTTCTATCCGAACGACTAAACGACATTCTTTGCTCGGCCCTCTTCCTGGTAAATCGCGAGGGTGGGGGTGGGGCTTTCTCAGCCAACCCCTGGATCAAACCCACTGAACCCCCTGATTAGTGAGCAAGCGCCTTACTCTCTGAGCCACTTTAATCTGTAAAGAAAGACAACTCTTGGAGTATGAACGTTAGACTAACATACCTTACTAAAAAGTCTATCAAAACAAACAATGCAATAAGGATTATTATTTTTGGCGATATATCTCTGGCCGGCTAATGGTGCATCACAATACCAACAACAGAAATGCTGAACGTGCCAGGACCGATTCTCGGCTTGTGTATATTCTCTGGCGAAAATAATCTGCAATACGAGAGAAAGGAAACATAATAAGTTTATGGGATGTCAGACAGCTTATGGGGTTTTTCTAAATGTTTTACAGTTTTATGCACTGCGGGTAAATGACTGTGCCGTTATATTAGCAAGGGGGCGGGGTTATCTCATTCTCTTCCGGATATCGTTTCCATATGGCATACATGTATCATGTGTTACGGTCACTAATCACAATGTTACGTGACCAAGGGGCGAGAACATCTCGTTCTCCGAACACGGTCTCCAAATGACATACATGTATCATGGGTTACGGTCACTAATCACGCCCTTACGTGACCAAGGGGCGAGAACATCTCGTTCTCCGAACACGGTCTCCAAATGGCATACATGTATCATGCGTTACGGTCACTGACTGTGCCGTTACGCTAGGAAGGGGGCGGTGTTATCTCATTCTCCTCCGAACATCTTCTGCAAATCGTATGCATCATGGATTACGGTCACTCAGTGACCCGTTACGTGAACGGAAATATCGCATTTTCCTCCAAAGATCGTCTACAAATTACATACGCATCTATCATGTGTGCGTTACAGTCACTCACTGCACCGTTACGTGAATAAGGGGGCGTGGTTATCTCACGGTATAGATGTATCTTTAATTGAATCTACACCAAGACAAGTTTATGATCATAACAAGAACATATTTGTTATTTTAGAACGGCAATAAAACATATGTTACCTATTAACGCATTAACGTATTATAAAAATTAATTGACTACCTCAATTCTTTCATGTAGCAATTTATACTCTACAGTCAAAAAGAAACCACGACATTTTTTGTTTATAAAATCAACAACTTTCGTTTATTCCACACCCAGTACTTTAAAATATATCGCCTAGATATGCGCAAATGATTGGCCTATGCCATTCTGTATTCAAATATTTTTCGATAAATGCACAATTACGATCTGGAAGAGTTGTTATATAACCCGCGTTCTGGTTGCCGTTAGGGTTACAATGACACGGGTAAAGGGGATGTGGTAGGGTTACAATGACAAGGGAAAAGGGGTGCGGTAGGGTTACAATGACAAGGGTAAAGGGGATCCGGTAGGGTTTCAATGGCACAGGTAAAAGGGTTACGGTTAGCGTTTTCGTCCCATCCGAACGAGTAGATCGCTGTCCTTGTCAGGCCCTCTGTCCTGCATACTGACAGGGGGAAACCACATCGGAAAACATTCAAGAGGACACCACTTACCTCATCACAAGCAAAACAGCGAGGGTATAAGAGATCAGCATAATGTCTACCACAATATATTTCAGCACCTTTATAAAAATATATATTATCTACTAATAATTCTTTACAGGATTTACAGGTAAAACAACCCGGATGCCAACAGGTGCCCACCATTCTACCTGCGAACACAGCTACACATTTATTCTCCATCACTCCCTTACAACAATGACACTTCTGAAATAGAGAAATTTACAAATGTCTGACTAATATGGCACGCCTATGAGATATTCTTTAATATGGCACGCCTATGAGATATTCTTCCTGTTTTCAAAAAAAAAATGTGTCTTTCGTCCTATTTGGTGGTAAATCATGCCTTATTTACTATCAAAATGTAATGGAATGGGGTTTAAAGTCCTATTTTTCTGTACCTACCGGGCTTATACCGAATTCCAGCTGTCGAGCCCTCTTTTACCAAATTTACATTTTGTGACTAAAATGACACACCTATGAAACATTCTTCCTGTTTTCAAAACATTTGTCTTTCGTCCTATTTGGTGCTAAATCAAGTCTTATTTAATTGGATTTAACGTCCTACTTTTCTTCAACGACTAGGCTAATGAAGACGGGCAAACGGCATGCAGTGTGCTATGAAGGACATTTTGCCAGGGCATGGCGGCGCTACGAATTACTCTTATATCAAATTCCAACTTTCAAGGGTTTTTTTACGTGCATGCCAATGTGTACACTGGACCTCGTCTTTTTGTCCCATCCGAACGACTAGACAGTCCTGCATCACTGACAAGAGGAAACCACGCCGGAAAATCCCGAGGATATTTCTCGGCCAACACCGGGAGCGAACTAGAGACCTTCCGGCTAGCGAGCCAACGTCTTACTCCCTCAGCCACAGAGGCTGAATTGCATGGGCTGTTTAAGCGGCACTCATATATGAAATGGGAGCCACGGTGGCTAAGTTGGGTAAGGTGCTGGCTCGCTAGTCTGGACGTCGGGTGTTCGATCTCTGCATTGGCCGAGAAAGTTCATCGGGGTTTCCCCCTTGTCAGTGGTGCAGGACGGGAGGGCCTGACAAGGACAGTTGTCTAATCGTTCGGATGGGACGAAAAACCGAGGTTCCGTGTATACAATGGCATGCACGTAAAAGATCCCTTGGCAGTTGGAATTTGATACAAGAGTAGGCTATAGTGTCGCTGCCCGGACAAAATTTCTCTCGTAGCAGACTGTACGGCGTACGCCCGTCTTCATTAGCTCAGTCGGAGCAAAGCAGTAGGATGTTATACCCCATTGCAGAAACGTAGCTCTGATTACAATAGGGTAACTCTCTTCTATAGAAATGGTGTGTTTAATTATGTACATTAAAATACCAGCTGATATTCACGAATCTTGATCCGGTAAAAACGTGTGAATAGCTTGTATTAAATAACAACTAAATCAAAGGAGACATGTATTCGCCGCATTGACATGGATGACGTAATTCACCGACTTTGATGACATATTAAGAAGAGGAGCACTCTGTAACATTTATTTAGTAACCAGATAATGGAATGATATACCGCCATTTCTTCCATAAACAAACGATTTCATTCTTAATAGAAATATCCCATTATTTGACATTTTATAGCTGTAGAATGTGGGATAATAGAAAATAACATTTGATTCTGTTTTCCTTGTATTTTTGAACTTTAGAAATGAAATTAAATTTGGTTTAGTGGCCTACTTTTCTAAGGCAACCAGTATAATGAGACGGCATCTTCGCTTACCAAGGTCTCTTGAGAAGAGAAGCGAATCGTAAGCCTTGGTTAGCAAAGATGTGTAGACGGTTTGAAGTTAAGTGAATTACGGATGATTTCTGGGCTTCTCTGTCACTATTAGGAATTAAATGCAATGGCGTTAAATTGGGTTTAGCGCATTCGTTATCGGCACAAAATGGGCTAATGAAGACGGTTAGATATCATTTGTAAAATTTAACTTTTTACTACACCTTACTTCGCATTTATTTAGTTTAATTACTTGTAAGTAACTGTTTGAAGCTTTGAAGTTTCGAGAATTATCTTCTGTATAACTAATTGTTTCCTGTTTCACGTAATTTAAAGATACATTATGGGAGATTAGATAAATAGATAGTAGTTATCGCTCTAATAGTTAAAAACTAGATAGTGTAAAGGTAATTTGCTGAAAATTTCAGTCAAATTGATCCACTATGAGCCGAGAACGAAGCGGGTGAAATTTTCGCATAGTCTCGGTCATCATTACTAAAATCATTAATATAAACAGCATAGTCTCGATTATCCACTGTTTTGATTTAATTATCAATGGCCGTTAAGCGGCATATAGAAATCTAATCCAGCCAACATCGAAGGCTTGCCTTGACATCGAGAGTTTATTATGGTCTGGATAAGTTAAAGTTGCAATTGCAAATTTTCAAGTTATATTTTTAAAATGTATTAAAATAAAGCCTTAAAATAGATGGTATCCATAAACAGTCCTACCTTGTTAAAGAATAATCCTATTAATCCTATAATTCGCTATTGCCAGCTGAGAAATTGGCAAAAATATCATTTTTAACTTCAAATCCAACGTTGGAAAATGGCTTCCCCATGTTGTCAATAGCAAAACTGGGGAGATAATTGTGTTGTTATTTCCTGTGTCATAGATTTTTAAGGGTGGGAAATAATGCCCATGATCGTATAATAGTGATTTGATAATCTATTGAGCAAAAGACATAGAAATAATTATGTTTTGACTTTCTTAGAAAATTTGAAATTCTCGCTTTAATTAATGTCTAATTAATAATTTAGATAACATTTCAGGCCTAAAGAAAGACTTGTAATAAGCAGATTTTGCTCTCGCATAATGCATGTTTAATTTAGATATATGTTATATAATACATCCTAGTGAGAGACACTGTAAAGTTGATATCGTTCACTTATGAACGACTGACAAACTGATTAAAATACAGATCTATATTTCGTTTCGTTTTTTTTTATACTTTTGATGGTCTCTACTACATGACGATGTGACCGGTTGTAGTGGAAGGTCGCGTCCGAGGTCATACGAGCGGCTTCTGACCTATGACGTCAGACATTTGATTAACCAATCAGCGTTGCTGTTTCTAGTTGGTTACCCATTGGTCCGTGCACCTCACGCCAAAAACTCGCCGTAACAGATCGTTTCATTGGCTAATCCCTCACATCATCCAAAACGCGGGTTATATAACAACTCTTCCAGATCATAGTGTAGCAAAGACAAGTAAAACGAAATTTTGGACAATAAAAAACGAAACGAAATAGGATCTGTGCTTTAATCAGATTGGAACGAATGACTTCTATTAATGAACATAGCTGTCACAAACAGTTCTAAGTTGTTATTTTATATACATAATGATTACTAGACAGTTTAAGTTTTCGTGAATAAGGGCCCAGACAATAGTCATAAAGTCTGTCATTGAGTCCACTGGCGTGGTTTCGAATCCCCGGTTGTACGTGGCAAGGAGTAGGGTCGCCTGTCCAACCTCGTGGGTTTTCTCCGGGTCCTCCGGATTCCTCCCACACTGCTAAAGACCCCTACGCGCAAGCGAATTATGTAAATAAAATTAAACCATATGTTAGTCCCGAATTGACCTATTTTTGTGTCGAGAGGACGTTAAACCCCATCTCTCTCTCTCTCTCTCTCTCTCTCTCTCTCTCTCTCTCTCTCTGTCTCTCTCGTAGTTTATTATTTATAACATTTGAAGCCATAACAAAGATCTGCTATAGCAGTATGTTTTAATGTCTGCCAAAGCAGTAATTGAGATTAATTGTATAATGTCAGTCTACATAAGTATATTTTATATGTGCCGTATAATATGATCACAATATGTAAACATTCACGCGGGAAGGGGGGGGGGGGGGTACTAAGACTTTAAAGTTGTTTATTTAGACAACAGATGCGATATAAGTTTATATCAACATATACTAACAGATGTTTCCTACTGAACTTAGACAAAAAAATCTGATAATTTGATATCTTCGTGTTTTAACACTCGCAAAAACATACCACAAATCTTCGTGACTTTTACTTTACCTTTGAATTATTTTAGTCTTTTCGATTTTTTTTTTTTTTTGTTGTTTTTTTTTTGTTTGATGAAGAAACATTAATTACCTAGAAACTGGATATGTTTCAAAACACAGCTGACAGATTATTACAGATATGTGTATAGCAGTTTATACGAATCTTCTTTAAATCGAAATTACAACTTTTCATTGGTGCACCAGTTACCTAGGGTAAACCAGAGAGAGAGAGAGAGAGAGAGAGAGAGAGAGAGAGAGAGAGAAATGAAATGAAATGGGGTTTAACGTCCTACTGTTTTGCAGAGAGAGAGAGAGAGAGGGGGGGGGGGGTAATGTCCATATTAGTCCTAACCTAGGGTAAACCAGAGAGAGAGAAAAAAAAAGAGAGAGAAAGAGGGTTTAATGTTCACTCGACACAAACTAGGTCATTTCGGGACTAACATATGCTGCAATATTATTTCGATAATTCTCTTGCGCGTAGGTCATTTCGGGACTAACATATGGTTGAGTTTTATTTCAATAATTCGCTTGCGCGTAGGGGTCTTTAGCAGTGGAAGGAAACCGAAGGACCCGGAGAAAACCCACGAGGTTGGACAGGTCGTCAGGTGGCCCTACTCCTTGTCAGGTACAACCGGGGAATCGACACCACGGCAGTTGACTCAATGACAGACCATATGATACAACGCTAGCCATTCGGCCAAAAATGAAATAAAATGGGGTTTAACGTCCCACCTTTCAGCACCAACCTGTCTAATGAAAAAAACTAAAGCGAGTTGATTTATTTTCAGGCACACTGTAATTAAATCAGTTTTTGATGTTCGTAACTAAGACATGTAATAATGGTCGTCAATGGTATCAATATAACTATGGCGTCTGATCTCCAGCAAGGTGCCACGAGCTTTCAGGTGGAAACACAAACAAATCTACAGATCTGTATTCACAGATGTAATACTTGATTCAAATGTCAAATTTTGACCTTTACATTGACTCATTTTTACAAAGCTTTTGTATTTAATTAACTAGACCTGAAATGAAATGAAAGGGTAGTCGAGTAAAGAAAAGCCATATGGAGTGGATACCTAGAACAAATTTTTCTGGTAGAGGGGTCCCTGAAGGTCTTCCAAACAAAAATCGCCCAAAATAAAAAGATAGGTTTTCGAGTAATTAGCATAAATCCAATATGGCTGCCATTGGCACCTTAAATCCCAATATCTCGGGAATGGTTGAGTTTGGAGGGGTATAATTACGGGTAGATAGGAAAGTGGTACAGATGGCTCAGAAAAACATAGCTAAATGACGCCCCTGTGACGTCATACCGTCATACGGCATAAATCCAATATGGTCGCCATTGGAATTTAAAACTCCGATGTCTCGGGAATGGTTGAGTTTGGAGGATGTAAATGTATTACATGTATGACTAGCTAGTACTGTCGTGTAGTTACCGGTCAGGAACTAGCACTGTTGTTAGGTTACCAGTGACAAACAAGGTTACCAGTGACAAACAATAATTGTTGTTATGGTTACCGGTAAGTAGATAGTGCTGTTGTTAAGGTTACCAGTGACTAACCAGTACTGTTGTTATGGTTACCGGTGAGTAGCTAGAGCTGTTGTTAAGGTGACTAGTTAGGTCGGATAACTGTTTTTATAAAAACTGGTTGTACGTGACATGGAGTAAGGTCGCCTGTCCAACCTCGTGGGTTTTCTCCGGGTTCTCCGGTTTCCGCCCACTGCTAAAGACCCCTACGTGCAAGCGAATTATTAAAATAAAATTGAACCATGTGTTAGTCCCGAAATCACCTAGTTTGTGTCGAGTGGGCGTTAAACCCCATTTCTCTCTCTCTTTTTTAAAAAAAAAAACCCTGTTACTAATGTGTATACTTTCTATTTCGGACACAGCACAATCGACTTCACGGGGCTAATAAGCTGTTACCTTTATAAAACAGAATTTGCTAGAATACATACCATATAACAGAATGGAACTGTGTGTATTTTAAAACGTAATGCACGTGTAAATTATAATTTGTTTTTTATACTTTAGACATTGGAGATGCTGATATAAAACAAATACTAATGACAAAATTAAATTATATGTAATATCAAATTGTCGTGAGATGAAAGAGAATTACTACACGAATTAGGTAAGAATTTTATAAATAGTAACATAAAGATATCCTGTATGCGAGATAATGTCAGGTGGATGATTTATGAGGTAAAAATAAAGATTACCTTCAATGTGTAATAGATTATGATAAATCGTTTAAATATCCAGAAATAATTCAGTAAAATTATATTTCCCCACTCCTCCTGACTTCAGACTCTGTTGAAATCATCAACAATCATTCATCGGTATCAGTTTCCGTCAAGAGACTAGTTTTCTTATTCACGATGCGAAAAGAACTTTGGTTTTCTTTGCCATTAATGCTAATATCGGTGTATATATGAATACAATCTGTTTAAAACACAGACTCTATTTCGTTTCGTTTTTTTATAGTTTTATTCGTTAATCCGATCCATATTTAAACCCTCCCTCAAATTCTTAAATATATGCCTACCCTAATAATAATCCTCCTAGGTCAGTGCTTATTCTTAGACCTAATCCTAACGCTAGGCCAATCCCAACCCTAACATAACCCTACTGTAGTTACGAATAATCACTCTCATTATAAAATCTCATATGTTTGGCGCAATATAGCCCGGTTGGAGCTGACGTGCCATTAAACAACATTTCATTTCATATCATTTCGATTCCCCGGTTGTACGTGAAAAGGAGTAGGGTCGCCTGTCCAACCTCGTGGATTTTCTCCGGGCCCTCCGGTTTTCTCCCACTGCTAAAGACCCCTACGCGCAAGCGAATTATGGAAATAAAATTGAAACATGCTAGTCCCGAAATGACCTAGTTTGTGTCGAGTGGACGTTAACCTCTCTCTCTCTCTCTCCCTCTCTCTCTCTCTCTGTTTAGTTTGACGCTGTTACATATCCTTACTATTTGAACAGAATGAAATCTACCAGTGCTTATTTGGAGACTTAACCCTCCCAAAAATACTTAAACCTAACGCTAGTCCAACTCTACTGAATAATCTCTTATTAAAATCTGTTTAGTTTGACGCTGCTACAATCAAATCCTCACTATTTAAACAGACAGGAATCTAACTATAATCACCCAGATGTTACAGACACGGCGAGACTTATAATATAATTTATCTTCTATTTAAAAACCAACAACAATTTCTTTTCGTTTAAGCATATTGCCTTCAATATTATTTTCTCATTTTTTAATTTAGTGGGCTGAATCCTTATCGATAGTTTATAATGACTGTTTTGAAGCGTTTAAACATATTGCCTTCAAGATTATTTTCTCATTTTTATTTAGTGGGCTAAATCCTTATCGAAAGTTTATAATGACTGTTTTGGAGCGTTTTAAGTTTGAAGAAAACCATTTGATGCTTCTGATAGTTATGAAAGAACGCACACCGTCATTTGTTATTAACTGTTGACGTGTTCAGTATGGCTGATTCTTTAAACAGGCGGCTTCTATACAAACTAGAAGACAATTTCGGTTATTTTTTTTAAGAGTGGCGCCAAACTGAATCACGTCTGATAATGAGTTTAGTTTTGCATTTACGTCACTTTAACATTTTCCATCACCCATGAAAAGAAAATGTGTAAAAAATCTGATGGTAGATTTGGGATGTAGATCTAATTGTGTTTGGTTATCGTGATGGGTAATTTTAATTTATTTGACGTTTCTGGTGTTGATATCGAGCGGGGTGATTTATGAACACTGTGAAGGTAAATTGACTGCCGATTATACTACAGATTAAAGATACATTATGGGAGATTAGATAAAGAGCTAGTTAAAAACTAGATAATGTAAAGGGAATTTGCTGAAAATTTCATTCAAATTGATCCACTATGAACCGAGAACTAAGTGATTGAATTTTGGGCCTCGATCATCATTACTAAAGTCAGTACGATAAACAGCATAGTCTCGATTATCCATTTAATCATTAAATCGTGAAGGAAAGTTACGCAGTAAATCGTCTCATAATCCACTAAAGATTGCAGGCCAGCGATGCCATCGATAGTTGATTATGGTCTGGATAGGTTAATTAATGCCTAATTAATAATTTAGATAACATTTCAGGCCTAAAGAAAGACATGCAATAGACAGATTTAGCTCTTGTTTAAAAAGCAGAAAATGTGGTTTAAACTTCTCGTCAATACACTGGACTACTTCGGTCATTTTTGGACCAGTAACTGGCCATCAAACGCTTGTTCTTGTTGTCGTTCTTATATTAGGGGTCGACGCGAAAAAGCTTCAGGTTCCGACAGTTCAACTTGGAATTCTTGGACAATTGACAAACTTCGATTTTTGGTATGGCTTCGATGACGTCATACTCTGTACGCTTGTACTAGTTCAACCAGTAACAGGTCCCCAAGCGCTACACATCTTTTTGTTCTTGTTGTTCTGGACAACGCCCTTCGAAAAAGGCCCAAGATTCCGTCAATTCAAGTTCGATCGAAATGACCCTTGTCACCCTTGGGCAATTGGCGGAATTGATTTGTGATATGACGTCGCAATTCCAAAATGGTTGTACTCGCTCGTACTTGTTGAACTGGGAACTGGTTGCATACCATTGATATTCGAGTACGATCGATACGCGAAACATGTTATTCGGACAATTGCGCACCATTTTTGATATGACGTCCTAATTTCTTGCTTTATATCATACATAGTCACGAATGGGGCCTACGGGACTGACAAAGAAAGTGTTCGTTTGGGTGGGACGAAAAACCGAGTTCCCGTGTACAAATTGTTAGTGTACGTAAAATATCCCTTAACTAAATAAAGATAAATTCTTACCACACAACCACAACTTGAATCCACTTCTCCAATATTCCCGATACCCGCCGCCTTCTTTCGCCGCTTTTCTGCAAATTTTTCATATTTGGGTAATTCCTTGTCTGTGAGACTGTTACAGAATCTTGGATCAAGGTCGTGCAGGGGAAGCTGTCGTTGTAATTGGCGTCTACGAAGTTGTGTAGCAAACTCTTGTTTGTCTTCCGGTAACATGGAAACATATTTTTGAGATCTCTGAAACATTACAAAAATACAGAAAATTAAATCGAAACATATTTTTGAAACCTCTGAAAAATTACAAAAAGATAAAAAAATAAATTAACTAAAGCATAGCTCATACGTGTGCTTTGCTAAGCGCTCAGTGACTTAATGCTAAGCTAATGGTCAATGGTTTACTTCTAACACAATGGCTTAATGCTAGACCGCCTTGGTTTAATGCTATGCTAATGGTCAATGGCTCAAAGTTAAATTAGCAGTTTTAAATAGTATAAATAATTTCTTTTGACATACTACGAAAACCCACCCACAGAAACTATCGTAATTGAGTCATAGGGTGGGTTACAAATTTGAATAATTCTTGAAAAAAAGTTCAAACAAAAACTAGTTTTATGGCGCATGGGACCTTATTCACGATAAATTAAACTAAAATAAATTAAGGATACCGATTTTTCATTGGTTGAGGTTTAAAAATTTAAACTCAAATTTTATCTCGTAGCCAATGAAAAGTCAGCATTCTTAAAATATTCTACTAGAAGTTTTTGCGATCAGCAGCCCTGGTATCCAATGACTTACCATCTAGTGCGTAACGGTTATAAATGGTGGAAAGAACACGATGTGAAGCAGGATATTGTTCAATATGTTTCCATATCAGAATGACATTCAAATAAATCATAGATACGGATGACATCCAACTTAAAAATATTCTGTACAAAAGATCTAGTACCATATTAAAACGAGACAACGCCTACTGTTATCAAATATAACAGGAGACAACTAAAAAGGTCAGGGATATATATTTCCTCACGGCACAATATTAGGCTGTAAGATTTAGATAAAGAGCTGACCGTTCTTGCAATAATAGTTCAAAAATAAATAATGATATAAATCTTTCCTCAAGTACCTGTAATCTGTGCTTAAAATAGCACAGATTACAGGTACTTGAGGAAAGGTGTTATAAGGTATATATGGGGTAAGAAATGTCGGTATACTTTGATCTTTATGTATATATCGGTTATTCATCTGGTATTCATATACAACCATGTAAAATATTTATATCATAATCCTCAGAGAGTGGTATAGTTTATTCCAATATTGAGAGAGAGAGAGAGAGAGAGAGAGAGAGAGAGGGGGGGTAACTTCTGCGATTGTGCAGACAACCCTATTCCTTGGCGGGACGATTTACCGATACTGCCCAATACCAGTCAATACTAATTTTAATTTTAAAAATATTACGTCATTACTGAGACGTCTCGTGATCCCCCAACCTTTACCAATATTAACCCCTTCTATCAAAAATCAATCTATTTCTGTAAAATCATGGATAAATACTAGAAAGAAATGGGATAAAATTACCATTATTTGAATAAAACTCGTTTGTGTGTGGAAACTATAAAGGTTACTTGGAGACTCCCCACAAAATGATTGATAGTTCTTGACTGTTTGGGGGTGGATGGTTGTTAGCACATGCGCGCTGTATCATAAGGTCATGAGTCAACTGTCGTGGTTTCGATTCCCTGGTTGTACGTGACAACGAGTAAGGTCGCCTGTCCAACCTCGTGGGTGTTTTCCGGGTCCCCCGGTTTCCTTTCACTGCTAAAGACCCCTACGCGCATGCGAATTTTTGAAATAAAATTGATCCATATACTAGTCCCGAAATGACCAAGTTTGTGTCGAGTGGACGTTAAACCCCATCACTCTCTCTCTCTTTCTCTCTCTTGACATTTTGTTAAATTCAGATATACTGTTGTCTCTTCTAATTAGAAATCAAATGTACTCTGGCGTCTTCTAATCAAGATTTAAATTAAGCTGAACGCACCCTGACGCCTTCGGGTGACTCTTCCAATCACAATACAATATAAGCTGAACGCATCGTGCGTCTTCGGGTGGCTCTTAAATCAGAAATCAATTTAAAGATACATTATGGGAGATTCGATAACGAGTTGGCAGTTCTCACTATAATAGTTAAAAACTAGATACTATATAACGTAAAGGCAATTTGCTGAAAATTTCATTCAAATTGATCCACTATAAACCGAAAACTAAGCGAATGAAATTTCTGCCTAGCCTCGGTCATCATTACTAAAGTCAGTACGATAAACAGCATAGTCTCGATTATCCATTTAATCGTTTAATCCAGAAGGAAAGTTATGCAGTAAATCGGCTCACAATCCACTTAATATCGCAGGCTAGCGATGCCATCTAGAGTTGATTATGGTCTGGATAAGTTGATTAATGTCTAATTAATAATTAAGATAACATTTCAGACCTAAAGAAAGACCTGCAATAGACAGATTTAGCTCTTGCATAATGTATGTTTAAGCTGAACGCACTCTGGCGTCTTCGGGTGGCTCTTCAAACAGAAATCAATTGAAGTCGAACGCACTCTGGGGTCCTCTAATCAAATCGAACGCACTCTGGGACCCCCTGGCGTCTCTTCCAATAAGAAATCAATTTAAGTGAATTAGAGTATCATATCCGTAATCCAAGAGGTGTAAACAACTAGACCGACAGGTAACCATAACTGGGGAATGTGATCATTCATCACAGATGATTCATCCATAGTGACAGATAGCTGATATGTTGGTACCGTCCATGATATAAAAGATCTGGTAAACCACAGTTTCCCATCTCACTTTACACTATCAAAGGTAAAAATTATTTTTAATACACAGATGTTTAAATGGGAAGATATAGTATTATATAATTAGCAACAACTAAAAAACAAATACGAAATGAAATGAAGTGGGGCTTAACGTCCTACAGTTCTGCTCCGACTGGGTTAATGAAGACGGACATACACCGTATACTGTGCTATGAGGATAATTGTGAAGGGTTATTTGTCGATGTTTATATTGAACCTCGGATTTTCGTCCCATCCAAAAGACGAGACATTGTTCCTGGTCGGTCCCTCCGCCTAGCACCATTCACAAGGGGAAAGTACGCGGGGAAATCCAGAGGAACTTTCTCGGCCAACACCGAGAGCGAACCTGAGCCAGTGTCTTTCATAGAGCCAGCGCGGTCCTCTGATAATCAGAAACATTCAGTGCAAGTGGTATTGAACGAAATGCTTTACAAGGAAACCTCGGGGACCCATACAAATTCCACGTACTCACTGAGATACTCACTGAGCCACCGTGGTTTCCTATTCGGAATCTATACTAATATTTGTGACTGTCGTTTGTCTGTCTGTCTGTCTGTTTGTCTGTCTGTTCGGGGTTGGCGGCTACACTAGGTCTGCCCCGAGTCTGAAATTTGGGGTATAGGGATAGCTCGGACCGGGGAGTAACATAGGCCAGGTGGCGTTAGTCTACCACTTCCGGTGTCGGGGTTATGACCCCCGAGCGAAGCCGGGCATTCTTCTAGTAACTAATATTTGTGACTTTCGTTTGTTGGTTTGTTTGTCTGTTCAGTGTTGGCGGCTGAAATTTGGTGTATAGAGATAGCTCGGACCGGGGAGTAACATAGGACTGGTGGCAATGGACCACTTCCGGTTTCGGAGTTATGCAACGCACGGTCCATGTCTGTACCCGTGCTACGCCGGATCAACCGCTAGTTTGCAATAAAATAATAAGGGAATCCTATACTAAAAGTACAACACTCGCCACAGTACCAACGCCAATTGTCATGGGCTAAGCTAACAAGTACGATCGTACTATGGACCAGAAACTGACCAAGTTGTTGGATGAAATTCAAAAATCTAATTCACCAAATCGATGCAAAATTGTTCAAAGAACAAGCATGCCAGTTTTCACGTCGATCGGACTTGAATGGATGGAGCCTTAGGCTTTTTCGAAGAGCGTCACTCGAAGAGCAAGAAGAACAAGACGAACAAGAACAAAGATAAGTAGATCCTGGTCCAAAAAAGACATTGCTACTATAACATTATGCTGTATTTATCAAAATACACAGTCAAGTTAAACTTCATGAAATTCGACATGACGGTATTCTATTTCCATGTTTTATAAGAGCGTTTTGACATACCTAACTATATTTCATGTTGGTAATAATTGAAAGTGATTAGACAGAGGCGTGTAGTTTATTCCTGTAAATCCAGAATAAATAAAATACATTCTTGATAAACGTTTAAATCGTTGATGGGTTTATAGAACAGAAGAAAGGCGAGAGGAGAAATTCAAAGCATGTTGTTATATAGAACAGAACTGCATGTTTTCTGCGTAGCGTATAACGTCATTTGCACGTGTCCTAAAGAACATTTTGATATAGTGCGCGCTGTATATACATACGTTAAATTTTGTTTATACAAATCTACTCTAGTACATGTAAATAGATTTACAATCAAACCTAGAATACAAGAGATTTATATAGTTTTGGTGTAGCTTATGAACAAGGAAATCTAAATATTCGATTCCTTATTTCAAACCCCCAGGTACAGTTTTTGTTATTTTAAATTCAAAGAAAATCTTTTGTATATCCGACGTTCCTAAATTTGGTTGAAAATACAACAAAAACAAAAATCCACCTGAAATAAATGAGACATAGTATCGGGTGTTCTAGAAAGAGCTCCCGCACACAGTTAACTTGATTGCACAAACCATGTGCGCGCTGTATCATAAGGTCTGTCATTAAGTCAACTATAGCGTAGTTTCGATTCCCCGGTTGTACGTGACAAGGAGTAGAGTCGCCTGTCCAACCTCGTGGGATTTCTCCCTGTCCCCCGGTTTTCTCCTGCTGCTAGTCCCGAAATGACCTAGTTTGTGTCGAGTGGACGTTAAACCCCCCCTCTCTCTCTCTCTCTCTCTCTCTCTCTCTCTCTGATTGCACAAACAAACAAACAAAATTTGACCACTGCAGATAAAGCACAGTGTTAGCTTACCTTGGAAAATAGCTGACTTTCTCCAAGCATATTTTATACAACTATAGACACTTGTTTTAGTGAGAGTTACCTAGACGTCATTATAGAGAGAATAAATGAGACTATATCTACGCAACAAGTAGGAGTTATATCTGTAAATATAGAACGGAGCTTTTACTTGTATTTGTTTTTTCTGTTAGTC